GGGATCCGCCGGTCCGCCCGGCGAGCGGGGGGCGCCCGGTCCTCCGGGTCCACCGGGAGCGAGCGGACCCACCGGGGCCATCAGCGCGGCCACATACAACACGGTGCCAAAGATCGCCTTCTATGCAGGACTCAAGAAGCAACACGAGGGCTACGAGGTGCTCAAGTTCGACGACGTGGTCACCAACCTGGGCAACCACTACGACCCCGCCACCGGCAAATTCACGTGCTCCATACCGGGGATTTACTTCTTCACCTATCACGTGCTGATGCGAGGCGGCGACGGCACCAGCATGTGGGCCGACCTCTGCAAGAACACCCAGGTGGGCCCGACACCACAACAACCTTGAAAATGAGACCGGCGCGCTTTTTCTGGGGCTTGGTTTGGACATTTTTACGCGCAGCTGTTACGCACGCGCGTTACGCGCACATATCTAACTTCATTTGCATAATTAAAGCGATTAAATCCAAACGGGCTGGACTCGAGACCGTTTGCGGTGTATTTAATTTAGAGATAGAGTAGATAGTTGGATGGATGGCTTTGATAATTTTATATCACTAATGGACAAAATAAACATTACCATAGTAATGTACTTAATTTGACACTTGACACCTTTAACTAAAATACTATCTATCTATCTATCTATCTATCTATCTATCTATCTATCTATCTATCTATCTATCTATCTATCTATCTATCTATCTATCTATCTATCTATCTATCTATATACTTCACTGACATCGAGCTATACATTTTTTAAAACTTTATACATAACTTCAGAAATATATGTTTGAGATGTTTGAGATAATTTTGACAGCAACATGTAACGTAATAAGTATTTTAACGTTGTTATTATGTGTACCATGCAGCCCCTGTTATCTGAATGTATCGTTTCAATTAATAAATAGATGCAGTACACTGCATCAATTTACATACAACTGTGAAGTCCATATGGTTGTTGTACATATGAAGTATTTCGGGTTGAAAGCAGAGTATGGGTGTAGTTCAAGCTGTTGCTAATATTTTGCTCCTCCCAAGTTCCCAGAATATTAGAAAAGGTTGATGCTATGTGCTTCTACAGTACATTCCTTTGGTAATAAACAGATTTAAATTATTAATAATTATTCGTATTTATTCTCTTTTATAATCATATTTTATTTTCATTGTAGTTATCACATTTAGTTTTGTATTTATCTTGTACACGTCAAGCATCTTGGTGTATTCAATTGGATTTATCACTATTTAAAAGGAGTGTCATCATCATCATCTGTCTCAGATGGTGCAGCTGTACCTAATGAAGTGTCCTGTGTGTGTCCCCCTCCGTCTCCCTCAGGTGCGAGCCAGCGCCATTGCGCAGGACGCCGACCAGAACTACGACTATGCCAGCAACAGCGTGGTGCTGCACCTGGAGCCCGGCGACGAGATCTCCATCAAGCTGGACGGTGGCAAGGCGCACGGCGGCAACAACAACAAGTACAGCACCTTCTCAGGGTTCATGCTGTACGCCGACTGAAAACAAACCCACCGGTTCATTCTCTCGCGCTCTCTCTCTCTCGCTCTTGCTCGCTTCCTCCCTCGCACGCTCCATCACTCGTTGGATTAGTAGAGACAGAGCTTCACATCGTCCTTGTTCACCAAGCGAGCCTGCTCGGGAGAGTTTCATGTAATTGTTGACATGTAGTCTGATTGGTGTCCAACTGGATGAGCTGTGAAGAGCTGCCATGTTGTACTGTAGCTGCTGCCGTATTGTATAACATGCTACACATGTGTCTCTTGAACCCTAATGATACACAACAGTCATACACTCGAGAAGGCATTCCCCGTAGCACCCTTGGATCTGTTTTAATCCCACTCAAATTCATTCGTTCGGGAGTCCTCATCGAAAGGTCAATGCCTTTTAATTTGGGGCTATGAAAGTTCAGCAAAAATAATTCCACCTGTTGCTGAACCTAGCCCTTTATACATAAATATATCACATATCATATTATTTTTATTGTGAACATCGGATGTGCAAGAGAACAAAATTAGGGCGGATTCAGAATCAGTGCAAAAACATTCATCAAATTCATTTGCATGACTGATTAACCCTTTCGGGGACAGAGGTTACTACAGTGGGCAGTTTATCAGGTTATCATTATTCGTGCATGAAAGGGTTAAAAAAAACGTAAACATTTGATAACCAGTATAATCGATAATGTGCAGCCATTTTGACCATGACGTCAGCATGGCACCTCAGGGGTGATATGACCTCCCAGGGCGGCTCACCTTGTTCCCAAAGTGAATCAAAGTGATTTCTAGCAATTATGAAGGTCATTTACTGGCATCTTATGAGCACCGAGATGACATTGAGGGCTTGCAGGTTCAAAATCAGTAACAGGATGTCCACAGTTTATGACGGAGTTCCGTTCCTACACCAAATTTGCATATAATTAAGGTAAATACGTGTATGGACATTTTTGTATCGTAACCCTTTCATTCACCAATAATGATAACCTGTAACCTGATAACATGATCGGTTGCCCACTGTAGTTACCGCTGTCCCTGAAATATAAAACATTCAAATGAAAATTAGTATGTGCAGCTTTGACGTATTCTTACGCTGTCGCACAAATGAGTTCATTGCGCCATGTTCGTATCGTCACAACCGTAGGTCAATACCAAAGTACAGCCATCCCCCGTGAAGACCGAAAACCTGCGAGCAACTGACGCCACCATTAAAAGGTTTATAACTGCCTACAATGACACAAGATTGTGCCAAAGTATGACTTTTCTATTAGACAAGCCTTTGTCCTGTCTAATAAAAGCTCCTCCCCTTGTCACAAGATGGGGCCAAAGCACACATTTTTCATTGGATATGGGTTTGACATCATCTGATGGCATCTTAGAAAGTCCAGGGAGAAAATAAAACAGTGAGTAGATGATTTTTTGTGAATAATTTAGGATAAGTTAAAAAAAAAGAGCACCAAGGATTTTCCCACCTGGCCCTACTCATTCAGCATACGCCAAACCTTTGTGTTTCCATTCTTGCTACCAATAAGAGAAGAGTCCGAACGCAGTGGATCACTGATTATTTTTTTTCCGAGTGAGAAAAGAAACAGACCAAACCAACGCCAAGCGGCATACTCTGTGTCAATCTGTGTTTTTATTTGGAGGAAAGAAAAAAAAATTGCATTTTGAAGCAATCTGGAGTGACGCATGATTCGCAAAAAAAGCTGCCATCTTGAAATCAAAACCGCCATTTTTCTCGTCCAACATGACAGTTGGTCGGGCAGCCCCGCTGGCAAAGCAGTTCATCAGCACATGTGACAGCAACATGTCCTTGACCCCCCCCTGGTGACACGCCACCCGCTGTCAACCTCCCCCACACCACTCTTCCCCCCCCACCCTTGAATATGAATATCATATATAATTTACAGTTTTAATCCTCCCGCAACATTCATCAAAAGTTTGGCCTGGACCGCGGCGGCCATTGATCATGGCGTGAATTCACCCTGTGAGGCCACCTGTTCCCAGACGAGAGAGGCGAGCGCGTCCTTCATCTGGGCCCTCCCCGTTAAGACGCGCCGTCGAGGGGTCGACTCGTTTGCTGCCGCCGACGTGAGGTCGGGCGTGGCATACTGATGAGCCGCGTGCTCGTTAGGAAGCGGCGGCGACACTAAACACGCGTGTGCTTCTGTAACACGGACTGGAAGGTGTTTTGGAGTTTCCGTGTGGCTGCCGGTGAAGGAATGCTGACGGCGAATGACACTCAATGTATGTAATCCTAATATGAAATAAATTCAAGTGAGTCTCTATGGGCTACAGTTGTACGACAATATTATTTGTAGCCGGAAGGTATTTTGTGTGACAGTGCATTTTGATTTGATGAATGGGCGTCGAAAATATTGGCTGGAAAATTACTTCAGAAAAGGGTTGTGTGACATATCGGGAGTAAAAAGTTGAGTCATGGGCAATTACTGATCAGTACGTGTTGAAAATGGCGAGCTCTCTTTGATGATACAATGTAAAAGGCTCAAGAAATTTATTTTATTTATTTTTCCTGAAAAGTGATTCTGGCGATGCGGTGATCCGAGCGAAAAAGAATAACTAATTAAAAAACAAATATGACTAATCGTTGTGGGAATTTTTTCATTGTTTTTTTTTTTTTTTAAATCAAAATGGAATATGGATAATAAGTGTATTTAATCTCCACCATTGCCTAATTTTATTTCGAATGAATAAAAAGGCAGAGAACTTGAAGTTCCATGCTTTGGAATTTCGATGATTTGACTGATGTTTTTAGGTTTAGGGTCATCATCTCACGAAGAAATCAGAAAAAAAAATCATGATGGCTTCATTAAACAAATGAAAACCTGCCTGGCCTACCCAAAAAAAAACCCCCACCCCTCGACCCCACCCTGGATACTTCATTTGAAGGTGAGCCAACGTTTGGGGTTGTCGATCAGGATCTTGTCCACCTGCATCTGCGAGATGCCCCGCTTCAGCATCTTGGGCACGATGTTGCGCAGGATGTGCGAGTAGCCGTGGCCGCCGTACTTGCACAGGCGGTCTTTGGTGTGGATGTCGTGCGCGATCACGATCTTGTCCTCGTAGCCTTCTTTCACCAGGAAGGCCAAGCTGAACGTACAGAAAGAAGAGGAGCGAAGAGGCTTGGTTAAAAAACAGCGGAGCACTTTAAAGTCAGCCCTCTTGAGTGTCTCAGATCGGATGTCATCCAAAATCAATACGATTCGTCCATTATTTCCATACAAAACGTCTCAGTGGAATTAAAGTGCAGAGTCTTAATGAGTTCCTATGGGCGTATATTTGGAAGAAAAAAAAATGTACCGTAACATTCATCAGTCATCATTTTTCCTTTCTAGAAAAAAAGAATTATTTTGAAAAACAAACATAATTGAGGAATATATATATAAAATATTTTTTAAGTGATCTTTTTAATCAGGTCACATTTTTGTAAAGTAGATTTTGTCAAGAAAAAAGTTTCACATTTTTGTATGTGACAATTTTTTTTTATGACCTACTTACTAACTTATTGAGATTACTCAACAAAGCAATAGTTATTATATCAATAGTAAAAACAAGTACCTGTTAAAAATGCAACTAAAAAACAAAAAGTATCAAGCCCCCTTTTTCTTATTTTTTATCATGACTACTTTTCACCCCTTGTGAAAGAGTACACGGTGCCAATCAGTGAGAGTTTATTCGAATTATTTCTTGGTCCAATTCTCAGATTGGATGTCAAGTCAATGTGCAGGGAGGTGTACTGACGTGTTGATTCTCTGGCTGTCACTGGGCATGTCCACGTCCATGTTGAAGACATAGTTTAGCGTCTCGATGCCAAACAGGTCGTACTCCAGGTAACTGCCCATCTCGGCAAAGTCCAGCAGCTCAGCGTGATTAAAGATAGTCCTGCAGCGGCACACCGAGACACAAGATTAAATCAATGAATGAGGAGCCATTGGAGCAAAAGATAGATTGATTGACTTCACTACAGGTCATCCCTTTAGCTATTCAATTCAAATTTATTTGCGTAGCACCTTAGCAAACAACATGCAACCTGAAATTAAAAAAAAAAAAACAACAACAAAAAACATCATCAAAAGGTGCTCCACTACCGATGCGCCCCCTCACCTGTCAAGATGCGACATGACCGTCTTGCAGATGTCGCCGCCCGCCTCCTGGAGGATGCGGACGACCTCGGCGGGAGCGGCGACATTGCGGCCGGGATGGATGATGACGGGGCAACCGAGCTGGGCCTGAGCGTGGGCCGCCGCCCGCAGCACCTTCCTCTCGCTGTCCGTGATGGGCCAACCAGTGCCGATCTCGCCGATCACGCCGCAGCGGACGTCCGTGCCGTCTGCGCCGTAGAGGACCTCGCCCACGATGACGTCCGTCAGCTGGTAAGGAAAGCGCAACTGGTGTCAGTCACAAAAGCTGTTCCGTGTGACACGTGTGCAGACAAACAATTTTGGAAGCTGGTGGAAAATAGTTGGAAAGAAATAAAAATGTGAAAAAATAGCATAAATGTCAGATTTGAGGGGAAAAAAAAATAACAGGATGATTCTGACCTTCTGTTTTCAAGCCAGTGTCAAATCTTTGACTTTTTTTTTTTTTTTTTGAGGTGACTTTTGCTTGAATATTTATGGATGTTTCTCCGACGAATCATGTATTTTTCATGAATTATTTGTGAATTTTGTTTCACATTTACTGTTGGTACTTTTGTTATTTTTCAATGTTTATCAATTTTTTTCCCATTGAAGATTTCTTTTTTCTCCAAATCTTTTGATTATTTGTGTATTTTTTTGTAGGATTATTGTATTTTTGTTTTAGATTTCTGCATTGATTCCCATTTACCCCCCCCCCCCGAATATCTTTGTATATTTTCCTCATGTGGTAGTTTTGTATTTTCATGTCAAATACTTCAGTGGGTTTCCATGTGCACCTTCTCCACACTCATCTTCCTCATGTCATCCGAGTGTGTGCAGTCCACATAGTAACCGGCACCCGCCACGATGTTGACCCCTGTCTCCTTGGCCAGCCTCCTGAGGGTGGACATGTCCCGGTCGATGCCCGTGGTGGTGTTTTCCACCACACTCCCGCCGCCCGCCTTCCTATAAGCCAGCAGCTCATCGCGCACGGCCTCTGTCTCCTGGCAGAGAAACAAGTTCTCGAGGCAGCTGTATGGGTTCTGCCTCAGCCAGTGCCCATGGCACAACTGGAAGGGATTCTTGTCTGTTTGCCCGTTCTCCGGCGGCGGGGGTACATAGCAGCACTCAAAGGTCATCGTCAGGTGCTCGTGGGTCATGGTGCGACCTAGCTGGTCCGGGTCCAGGAGACCCAGGACCGTCTGGACCTTGCCGCTCAGCTCTGTCATGACGGTTCGTCAAACTGAATGGAGTGCATGCAAAACAAGATTGTGTTAATGTTTGACAGTGTGCCAGACAGTCCGAGAGATGAATGACAGGGGAGCAGACAAGCTCAACAGAGCACAAACCTTTGGACTCCAGAATACTAAATGACTAAAAGTCGGCTCTTAACTTCATTCAGTGAACTTTCAGACAACTCGTGAGCAACTTGCTGACAAAAGTTAGAAAATCAGATAGTCGCGCTATTATTTTGAAAAAACAACGCTTTGCCAGAAGGCTCATAAAAGTGACCGATAGTTCGCTTGTCTTTCTCATGGAAGCTGAACACCGTACAAAGCAATTAAATTCGGCCAAAAGGGCTTAAAGGGCATTAGCGTTATAACGCGTTGCTAAGCAGAAATCAAGTTTTATCAAATGAAAGCCTGATATATGTATAAGGCGTCAAATAAAAGTCCTAACCTTGAGTCTGCTACTCGGTACTTCTCCCTATCTGGACACTGTCTAGCAAACCAATCCTGGATTACATATGGGCAACAGATCGAGAAGTGAGAGGAGGGGCAGTCATCGCGACATTTTACGATAATTACGAGCAGTCTGTTTCAATGTCATGGAACGTGCACTATAATCAAAATTGTTTATATTATATTATGTAATCCGTCGCTGATAAGTGTCGTGGTACATCGCCTGAGGTGTGTGCGGGCAGCGTGGGAATCGGTTCCGACTCAGTGACGGTATGGATGTGAGCGTCAATGTTTGTTTTTCTCTATACGTACCATGCGACTGACTGGCAACCAGCGCAGGGAGTCGTCCACCTTCTTCCCGAAGTCAGTTTGGACAGGCTCCCGTGACTCTGTTCAGGATAATTGGTGTTGATCTAATCTTTTCATCCTCACGATGATCGCGGACATGCTGATCCAACTGGCTTCAGGCAATAGGCGGGGTACACCCTGAACTGGCTGCCACCCAAACGCAGGGCACACATAGACGTCATTAGACGAACAACCGTGCACGCTCACACTCACACGTAGGGACAATTAAGAGTGTCCCATTAAACTGCCATGCGTGTTTTTGAAATGTGGGAGGAAACTGAACTGGCAACCAGCGCAGGGAGTAGTCCACCTTCTTCCCGAAGTCAGCTTGGACAGGTTCCCGTGACTCTGTTCAAGGTAATTGGTGTTGATCTAATCTTTTCATCCTCACGAGGATCGCGGACATGCTGATCCAACTGGCTTCAGGCAATAGGCGGGGTACACCCTGAACTGGCTGCCACCCAAACGCAGGGCACACATAGACGAACAACCGTGCACGTAGGGACACTCACACATAGGGACAATTAAGAGTGTCCCATTAACCTGCCATGCGTGTTTTTGAAATGTGGGAGGAAACTGGAGTACCCAGAGAAAATCCACACAGAAAAGCCGTGCCCGGAATCGAACCCATGACATCTGCACTGTGAGGCGGATGTGCTAACAATCCGTTCATCCATCCATTTCCTAATCCGCTTATCCTCACAAGGGGCATTCTGAAGCCTATCCCAGCTGTCATCGGTCAGTAGGCGGGGTACACCCTGAACTGGCTGCCACCCAAACGCAGGGCACACATAGACGAACAACCGTGCACGTAGGGACACTCACACATAGGGACAATTAAGAGTGTCCCATTAACCTGCCATGCGTGTTTTTGAAATGTGGGAGGAAACTGGAGTACCCAGAGAAAATCCACACAGAAAAGCCGTTCCCGGAATCGAACCCATGACCTCTGCACTGTGAGGCGGATGTGCTAACAATCCATTCATCCATCCATTTTCTAATCCGCTTATCCTCACAAGGGGCATTCTGAAGCCTATCCCAGCTGTCATCGGGCAGCAGGTGGGGGACATCCTGAACTGGTTGCCAGCCAATCACAGGCCACACACATAGATGAACAACCATCCAAGCTCACAATCACACCTTAATTTAGAGTGTTCCATTAACCTGTATTGCATGTTTTTGGAATGTGGGAGGAAACCGAAGTACCCGGAGAAAACACACGCAGGCACGAAGAGAACACGCAAACTGCACACAGGAAGGCCGGAGCCGGAATCGAACCCTGCGCATCTGCACTGAGAGACGGACCTGCTAACCAGTCAACACTTTATTATTGTTATTTTTAAAAATATTTAACTTTCCTGAACTTAAAATATTTTATTTTAGCAAAAAAAAAAAAAAAAATCTTTCTTACATTAAAAAAAAAAATCTATACGTTCGCTATACTTTTAAAATCAATATTAAATCTATTGACTGTAAATTATTTAACTTTCCTGCACTTAAAATATTTTTTTTTGCAAGAAAAAAAATCTTTCTTACATTAAAAAAATATATACTTTCTCTATACTTTTAAAATCAATATTAAATCTATTGACTGAATTTCGAATGAGGGCAAAGTTTTGTTTCTCATGAATTGATCATATATTTTGTGAGGATTCTGCAAAAAAACGGTAACTTTTAAGACAATGATGACGATAATGACAATGTTAATTACCATAATCATGATGATGATGATTAGAAGTGTGTTGACTATATCCATGCACGTTACATGTTGTCATCGACCTGTGGCCTTCAATCGGTACAAGCCTTATAGGAAACTGTTGGATGGACAGACATTTTCTTGTTGCAACGGAACACTGTGAAAATGTGTCACATGATCCCCGATTCTGGTCATCTGCTTGGCTATCTGCCATGTGCAATGGTGACCGAACACAAGGTTGACCCTGTGACCAATGATGCTGTTGGAGACCATCTGTCTCCTACGCAGCTCAACTGGCCTCACCCTGTGCTGACATATTATATACTACTGAGTTTGGATATGTTTTTACATATACATTACACACACACACACACACACACACACACACACACACATACACACACACACACACACACACACACACACACACACACTGGGCTAACGACAAATACGAGAGGCAAAGTTGACGTGTTAAATGAGCAGCGTGTTACTCATAGACTGTGACTACGGTGCCGCCGCAGGATTCCTTATTAGGGACAAAAAGCAGAGTGACACTCATTTGTCTGCCTGGCCGCCATGTTTCAGACACACATCACCGCCACGAAAGTCTCTTCGAGAAGGATGAATAAGCTCCCACTAACAATATCCACACAGAAGAACCCCAGAGAAACCACTGTCTGCAGAGTACTCTTCAGTTTCATGGTTATATTTGTACAGTTAGTGTTCCTGTACATGTACTGTAGATCATTGCACATTGAATGGTTGCACTTTGGCTGTTCGTAACCGAGAAATCAATCCAGTTTGAATTTTATGGCCCTTTATCAAAAATATGTTCAAGGGCTTCTCAGTAACTTAAAAAAAAAAAAAAAAGATATAATATGAAAAAAAATGTTTTTCTTCAATTCACTGAATATCACAATTATCGCTTTTCATTAATCCATTGATTTGTTAGATTGTCTTTTTGGCTGCAATGATACATAATTCAAAATGTGAATCAAGGTCTGTCTTATTATTTGTACTCTGGCGCCATCTTCAGATTGATAGGGTGCATGTGTTTTGTCTTGAAAATTAGTACAGTATTTTCAAATGTAATATTGCTTTGTTTTTTTAATTTTGCTGGAAAAATTTTCTTTATTACACATAAAATATTTTCTTTCCTTTCATATATAGCTACAGCATATAAGACCATACTTGAAATATTTTATTTTATGATCGTCGGAGATATAAGGTTATGACTGTATCCGCCGCACACAAACCATGCGGCAATGCACTCATGGTGGCTCGTCAATGGAGGGCGCTATAAGGCTCCGCCCATCCGCCAAACAGAGTCACTGAAAGGGATAACAGTTAAATAATGAAGATGAAATATTTGAATAAAAATACTTCAAAATAGATGTAAATCTGTGTTATGGTCATAAGTCTAAATAGCATACAGTTATTGATGAGTAAAATTGATTTGTTTCTCTTTTTGCGTGTCAATCGATGAAGTACTTCCGCTTTGGTTGCGTCGAAAGACTCGTTTCTTGTTTAAAATATTGGGGCAATCGTTTTGCTGAGAGTGAGTGAAGTGGAAATTATGAGAGATGTCCCATTTTGATCGAGATTGATTGCAATTTTCTGACATGAAGCAACATTTTCTCGAGAGTGAGCATCTATCGGGACGAAAAGGTTAGTCGTCCATAAAACGCAAACTATTGGGGCCATGAAACATTCAACTTTTTTTCCGTGATTTAACTTGAAACTTTTTTCAAATGTAATATGTGTCCTTGCTGCTTGCTGTGTAAAAGTTGAGAATCACCACTAGTTTGCAAACAATGATAATATGGTAAATTTGCTTTATTTTTAGCATTTGAATTAAGGCAGTACAAAAATGAAGCGGCAAGTATGTCATAGATTCCGTCAGCCTTTTCTGCTTTCCAGCCAGACATCCGTGTACAGCTTCTGAGCACCACCTAGAAGTAGTTGGCGACCCTGCGAGCAGACTGGATCTTGGGGTTGTCCGCCTGCCATTCGGTGTGGCTGCCGTAGCTTCCTCGCTCCACCACGTACATGCGACCGCGGTAGTTTGGCTCCTCGTACAGCACCCAGCTGCAAAGACAGATTGAACATGCATTTTTCCCCCACTTTGCATTTAACGGGAGAAGAACGCAAGAGCTGTCTTGTACGTACGCTCCATCTCCGTATACTTTGAGGGACTTGATGCAGCTCTTAGTCAGGCCTCTGGCTTGCAGCAGGGGACAATCTTCACTGAGCTCCACGTGCTGGCCGCTGAAGCTGTCTCCCTCAAACACCTCCAGTCTGTAGTGCTCACCATGCTGAGGAGGAGAAGCAGAAGTATTGAAGTACAACTATTTTGTTATTGGACTTAAGTGGATTTTTTGGGGGGGTATCTACCATTCTGATTGGCCGGCAGGAACCCATGTGGTCATTGAGGGCGCTCCATCGCTGGAATTCCGGGTACTCGCCGCGCTCCAGGATGTACTGCTGGCCCTTGAAGTCTGGGTGGTCGAAACACACAAAGGCGCCGCTCTCCACTCTCACAGAGTTGACGCGGTTGACCAGGCCACGTTCTTGGAAGTTGTCGCAGCTGCTTAAAACCTCCAGTTTGCGGCCCGTGAAGTTCTTGCCCTCGTACAGCACGATCTGTCATCGGACGGGGTCGACAGTGTTTTTTTGGAGGAGTTCCGGACTCACGGGCAATTGTTTTGCCTCTCTTTTGAACATGCACGGTGAACCCCGGCTTATTCACGATTCACCATTCGCAAATTCACCTGTTGGTATTTTTCCTGTAGAACTACTATTCACTGAAAAACTCACCAAAGATGCCTCTCAAATGCCCTTCTGACATTTTAAGACAAAAACATCATCATGCTTACTTTTCTTGACCCTGCCATAGCGGTATTAAGCTAACACAAAGTTTATTAGTTATGTGAAATGGATCCAATTCACCAATCACTATTTGTTTAAAAATGCACCTGTTTGTATATTTTTGTGGCCTAAGATGCCACTACATTCATATACAATTTACAGAAAATTCGAAAGACTTTTTTTTATCCGGAAGCTTTTTGTACTAGCTTGATATGCTACTACTATTTGACTGTTTGACGGTAGACCTTTAGATGGCCTTCTGCCCCACTCCACCGTTTGGGTACTCACCTTTCCTGAGCTCTGAGACATTTTCCACAGTTGTAGTTGTTCCAAACCCGCACCACGAGCCTGGCTCCGGGGATATATACAAAAGCACAACAATGGCGGGTTTAGACATTTTGCCACATGGGCACTTTCTCTTACATTGTGCCACTGCTGAGATGGGACTTTGGCTCACAATAGAGCCAAAGGGGCGTTTTTTTTATTTTCAGAAGCAACGGTATTGACACATTTTTGCCACCTGGGGGGCGTTTGTTCGGGCTCGAATGTTGTGGAGTTCATTTATGATTGAAAAGGTAAAAATGTTGCTGCCATTCTGCACCCGCTCGCAAGGACAAAATCTAGAATCTTTTACAATTTTGGGTCATCATTTACATTGTTTGAATTTCATACTTCACACCAAAATGACACGCTTCCCGTGGCTTTTGGGCATGGTCTTTTGAGATTTTTTTTTTCCTTTTTTTTAATCTTAGAGACTTCACTTCGCCTGACTGTGTTTGCACTATTTAAGAATAATGAATACAGAACACCGGTACATGAAACCTGTTTTTTTTTCCCCGCCTGCGGCTTCTAGAAATACAGCACATGGAAGCACGCAACAAGTCAACATGATCATCTGCTCCATATTCTGATACAGTACATTTTGATTTCAGGCTTGTTTATTTATAATTCCAAATTCATCAAATGCACCCATTTTGAGTTGAAATTTAAATGCTACCAGTTTCTGGAGGCGGTTAATTTGACAAAAGAGGAAATAAAAAGACAATAAAACTCGAGACTTAAGTCATCAGACATAAAAGGTCTCTATTTATGTATCTGGTGGCTGTGGGCCCCCGGGGGTGGTCACAATAGGGTTGTTGTTTTTGGTGCCAGGTGTGGCTGGCGAGTATGGTGATGTATGGACATTGTTGAAAGCAAACAAAACCTCCTCCTCTGTTTGGGAGGACCTTTCTAGATTGCCATCTACTGTCTGATTTTGTTAACACAACTTTAAAACCAACCTGCCCCTTCAATCCAGAATTTGGATCGCGGTGGAATGTCCCTTTACTTTGAGATGCAAATAAACCGCTGACGCAAACTGGGCCCAAAGAAACTGCTCTCGCGTGTTGTGCAGTACGTTTGTGTACGGGTTGCTTGACCTCTCCGATGGAGAGGTCGTTGCACGGCTTACTGCTGAATTTGCTTCTCGAGAGTTCGTTCTTGGGGTGAACCAACTTTTGTGGCTGAAAGGAAAAGTAGTCATCGGTGTTTTAAATTGGTAGCAAAGTGGCGACAGTGCATTCCAGTGCACTTTCTAAAAATATAATGGAAGCCATTTATTTTTCCGATTCTTGTGGTAAAATCGGTCAATTTCAGTGAGTCCTCTGTCACTGTCATGACATTTCTATACTCCATAATCATTATAAGGCAACACAGACAAATGTGACAATCGCAAAGATTAACAGAAATGTTCCTGTAAACTATTCCAAAAATAGCATCCATGTGTCCTTTGCATCTCGATATAAAAATCCATCCACCCATCCATCCATCCATTTTCTAATCCGCTTACCCTCACAAGGGGTGTGGGTGTGCTGGAGCCTATCCCAGCCATCTTCTGGCAGTAGGCTGGGTACACCCTGAACTGGTTGCCAGCCAATCGCAGGGCACAGATAGACGAACAACCGTACATGCTCACACTCACACCTAGGGATAATTTTGACTGTTCCATTCACCTGCCATGCATGTTTTTGGAATGTGGGAGGAAACCAGAGTACCCGCAGAAAACCCACACAGGCACTGGGAGAACATGCAAACTCCACACAGGAAGGCCAGAACCGGAATCGAACCCTGGACCTGTGTACTGTGAGGCGAACATGCTAACCAGTCGGCTACCATGCCGCCCCGAGACAGAAATATGCAAAATATGTCGTCATGAGTGTTGAACAAATGCGTATTTGCTCAATATAGGAGCACAAAGGGGGCGGCTGCATCTTGCATAAGGCGGTAGGCCAGCATCGATCCCTGACCGCGGTGGAGCATACGCAGCCATGGACGGATGACCCAGTCGGGTCAAGCAAATATGTGCGGCTATAAAAGGAGGCGACAAGTCAGCAAGGTCATTGCTTTCACTGACAAAGACCTACAAATCTGCAAGGTAGCTATCCTTTAAAGGTACTTGAGAATGGATTGTTCATGCTAAATACTTCAATTTGATTTGTTTTTCAACTTATGTTTTATCATTCCATCCAAAAATTGAATGAGTGTTTTAATTTGATAAAAATGTCACTCCATAATATTATAGTTTATAAAAATGTACTAAGTAAAAAGCATTGAACAGTTTTTCTCACCACACTGCATCAATTGAATTGCCATTGTGCTGCTCCTTCTGCTTGTGGCCGCCTTCGCCAAATGAGGAAAGTCCAAGACGGAAAGGGACAGATACACTGTTCATTGAGAGACCTCAACTCTTTTCAGAGCTTATCAGTACAGCACTAATATTAAACAGCCTTTGCAGATGATAAAGAATATATGACTGTGACTAGCAAGATTTAAATGTAGCCTCACCTCATTTCAGCGATTCTTCTTCAAAGGAGCCCGCTGCTGACACAAATGTGTAACATGCAAGATCTACTCGCTCTGTCGCAGGCTGTGCTGTGGTCTTGGCGAACATCACAATGAAGTTGTTGCTGTTAGCTTTGAGCGTCACGCTGCTGTTTGCCGCAGGTGAGCCATTCTCCACTGGTATTTCATTGATGAAAAAAAAAGGCCGGTCGCTGATGGCGTAGCGGTACACTCGCCGGACTTGCGTGCGGGCTGTGTGGGATCGGTTCCCTCTCAATGATGGTGTGGATGTGGATGTGAATGGTTGTTTGTCTCTCCACGTGCCCTGCGACTGACTGCGACCAGTTCATGGTGTGGTCTGCCTTCTGCCCGAAGTCAGCTGGGATAGACTCCAGCTACTCTCCGCAACCCCGTTCAGGATAAGCGGTGTTGAAAATGGATGAATGGATGGAAAAAAAGGCCAATGTCTCTGTTGTGCAGGACACGAGTGGGCACAGTACACATTTCACAACCAGCAGGTCATTGGCAAAGCAGCAATCTTATTGATTTTACAGAATGTTGAGGCCGTTTTTGCTTCCCTGTGTCCGTCAATGACTTTTTCAAAACAGGCGCATTGCTCCACCGCTTCTTTGGTGCTGCAGAGCGCCTGTTTCCCAAAATAAGTGCCAATATGTCCACTTTAAATTGGAGGTTGCATTATGTCGTGTTACTTTTTCCAACTAGTCTTCTTCAGACTTTGTTGCATTTTCCAGAAGCAAGAATGTTGTGCTGATTTGGGTTGATTTTAGTTGTCTTTTTTGCCAGGCAAAGCTCTCAACTGCCATCGCTGCGTGCCAGCATTAGCCGGCGAGGACTGCGAGCTCACGTTGGAGACGTGCAAACCAGGGAAAGATGGCTGTGCCGCAGCCAAGTTCCTAAGGGAACCATGTGAGATTTGTTCAGTCTTTAAGGATGAAGCCCCTGCGATCGGGATGTTTTACATTTGAAATTGAAAATGATTCTCCCCTGTCACATTCTTCCAGATGGCCATTACCAGAAGTGCATGGCCATGTCTGACTGCCAGATGCTCCAACAGAACAGTTTCATCCGGATGAAGTGCTGCGACAGCGATACGTGCAACACTTTTGATGAATAAATCAATAAATTGCTCTTTGTATTGTCGCAAATGTCTCCCCAAAAAAAAAAAAAATAAAAATTAAAATGTTCCATCAACTTTAAGTCAAGTTTTTTGTTTTGTTTTGTTGTCAGATCTCAGAGCGACTGCAATGCGGTGATGCTCATGTCCAACCTCGCCACACCGACTTTTGCAACATACTCCACATAATATCCACCCATCCATCCGTTTTCTAATCTGCTTATCCTCACGATGGTCACGGGCGTGCTGGAGCCTATCCCAGCTGTGTTCTGATCGACTGGGAGTCGGCAACCCGCGGCTCCAGTGCCGAATGCGGCTCTTTGGCGCCGCCCTAGTGGCTCCCACGAGCTATTTCAAAAATGTTCCAAAATGGAAAAAGATGGGGGTGGAAATATATTTTGCAAATACAGTATAGCTAATATTGATACATACAGCATGTCTTGCCTTCATTGTAAAGCTTGTGTAAGGCTTTTAATTTTTTGCGGCTCCAGACATATTTGTTTTTTGGGGTTTTTTTTTTTTTTGGTCCAGTATGGCTCTTTCAACATTTTATGTTGACGACCCCTGGTATATACGAACAACCATTGGCGCTCGCACACACAACTAGAGACAATTCTGAGTCTTCTCTTAATCTCCCATGCATGTTTTTGGAACGTGGGAGGAAAGTAGAATACCCGGAGAAAACCCACACAGACACGGGGAGAACATGCAAACTCCATAAACGAAGGCCGGTGACGGAATCGAACACCGCACCTCTGCACTGTGAAGCCGGCATGCTAACCAGTCGAACAACGTGGCGCCCTTTTCCATGTTCTCGATAAAATGACGAGTCGTGAACACAGTCAGAGTGCCTCACCCATCAAAGAATTTGTCCTTTTCGAAGTGTTCATCGAATTAATAATCATTTTATTATTAATGAATTTTATTATTAATTAATAATTTTGGATGCAATACAAGAACCTATTTGGATTAAAAAAAAACTGACTGCATAAACAATGAATAAATACAAGCTGATATAAAAGCGGGAAGGACAACAAACAGGAAGTCAAAAATCACAAGCCACCAAGATAGGCAGACGGGAAAGAATCGCTATTGAACTTAAAACCATTTCAGTTGAATTATAGTGGAACTTTTGTGAGGGTTGTGGCCTGTTAAAAGTCACATTTTCTCTCGCAGAACAACACGATGCAGCTTCTGTTCTTGGCTTTGAGCGTTGTACTGCTTTTCACAGCCGGTGAGTGTGTCTCCGCGGATATCTCGCTGAAAATTTTCATGGATAATCAAAGGTTTGAGGTCGCTGGAACACGCACGTTAAAGTGGCGGGATTCATTTATGACGTAGTTCTATACTCCAGATTGAAATCGTCCATATGATCAAACTTTTTTTTTTCCCTCTCTTTGTGCTGATTTGCTCTTTCTTTCCTCAGCTGAAGGTCTGAGTTGCAACTATTGTCGGCCTGGGCCAGCTGGGGAACCATGCGAGGTCACTAAGACGGAGTGTAAAGACGATGAAAAATACTGTGGATTTGCTACATACAGGAATTGTACGTTTTGTTGGCATCAATATCATTGTGAAAATACATTGGGTGCTCGGAACGCAAACGGGTGTTTGCGGTCAAAACTGGCCAAAAATGGAAACAAAAAAAAAAAAATCCTGTTTGATTTCCGAGGATCCACATCATAGGAAGCGTGTACCAGGATTGGTGCTAATAATCTTGTTCTTATCATTTCTCTGTCAGTTATCTCACTGCAGGAATGCATGACTGGCTCTCGCTGCTCTTGGTTCCAACGCAATCCTGACTTTGACACCGACTGCTGCAAGACCGACTTTTGCAACCTCTTACCAAATTACCGTATGTCGCTCACTTTACTTCCATCCCCATCAACATTTAAACAGAGTTTGTTTGTCTTGCAATGCTCTTTTTAATTTTTTTTTTTTTTTTATAAGATCGTAGGCTCTACCTAAGGAGGTATTGGACTCAGAAAAATCTGCACTCTGCTTGAAGTGCCACCCTCGAAAATCATCTGGATGAGAATTTCAGCTTGAAATAAATAAAATGCAACGCAACGTTTCTGACTCATATTTACTCAAGTGATCAACTTGTGATCAGAGTGATGTGTTATAATGTAGCCTTAAAATTTTTTAAATCTGTGGCATCATAAACAAACCTCATTAGCTGACCACCATATCATACGTTGGATGTTTTTTTTTTTTGTTTTTTTTCCAAATCCAGGATAGGCTCACCGAATACTCAAACTCAGAGATGTCCAAACTATTTCCTTTAAGGGCCACATACAGGAAAAATATAAGGGCTCACTTTAAAATTTTTGGTTTTATGTTAAACACTCGAAAATGAATCAAGGAATTACATTTTGCTTATTTTCAAGGTTGTTTGATAAACTGCAAAATAACAGCTTTTAGTTAAAGGTTATAAGGTGAATGGTTCTGGATTTCTCAAGACTTTGGGGTGGCCTCAACCCTGCAGCCCAACAGGCAAAATCCGCCCCTGCAGCGAACAGCAGCTGAATCCCACCTCCACATTCAGACTCACAAAAAAAGCAAACTGTAGTCAGCTGACCACTTTTAAAACAGTGACTTGAGGGTCAGTAATTTGCTATGTTCATAAATCAGACCTTGACACAAAGTATAACCCGAATCAGCCCTAAATAATTGTACCAATAATTGATTTGTGTCTTTGAAAATCCCTTAAGGCACTGCAGTATCAGAACCAATTCGTTTGTAGTAGTAGCACCTATTTTTTTCAACATCCTCCCTTCTCACTCTGCCCATTTCCAATTTTCCATTTTTTTTTAAAACTAGCCCTGTTGGCCGTTTGTCATGATTCTGTTCATTGTGTTTCCAGCAGGTGGCAGAGGAGGGCTTTCCCTCCAGCATGCACACCTGTTGCCAATCAGAAAGGCATGTATTTAAGGACTGCCTAATTGCCAAGAACCTTGTTTGCTGCTCTTGACCAAATGTTCTTTTCGAGACCACTTTTGTTTTTTTGTTTTTTTTTGCTCGCTACTCGTCCCTCGCCTTGTTTGTAAGTATTGATATTATTTCCTCTTTGATCATGCTCTTATTTCCTTTCATGTAATTGGACACATGACATTTCATTTACATTCTCGGCTTTTGCAAGCCCTTTTTGTTCATACATTCTTTTTTCTGGTTGCTTATGACCAGCGATTTCGGTTCATACATTGTTGATACGCTTTTCAGTACATTTTTATGATGGGTTTTGTTTGTGTCTACGTTTGTGGGATCCAGTCACCACTCAGTTTGTCCACGAACTGTGACACCGGGGCTGCAGAAAAATAGATGGTGGGGTGCAAACAGACCCGGGCCATAGTTTGAACACCACTGCTCTAAATTGTTAATTGTATGAATGGTTGCTCGAATTCACCTGGAATAGGCTCGAACCCGCTCATAAGAGAAAAAATAATAGTAAATGCATGCTGGAAAGAAAAGGGAGGATCCTTGGAACTGCCATGTGAACTTTACTTCTTCGATCTCTTTAACGACTTTAAAAAGAAACATCAATTTAAAGTTCAACATCACATGTGATCATTTGTGTGGCTAAGTAAATGATTGTGAGGATTCGTTCGTTCACTGGCTGGAGGGGAAAAAAAGGGTGGACAGTATCGTTTTTTTCCCCCGTTGGAGAGGTTAAGAGTGTTCAGTTTGCATTCATAACAGGAACTGGGAGGCAAAAAACTCATTTTCGGAGGAGGAGAAATGTCACCAAACAAGAAAACAAACATCCCAAAAATTCAGAATATTAAAAGAATAAAAAGATTTTTTTTCCCCCCAGAAAATCATGGAATAATTTAAGACAAATGTCTTTGCATTCGCAAAATAAAAACACATTTTCAAGGGGAAATTTAAAAAAAAATGTAAAGGAATGTAAAAGTGAGACTTAATGTCATTTTCCCTCTGGGAGTAGGTCAAATTTAAGCTCATAAAACTGTAACCCAAAGTCAAATTTATGCCTCCTCCACCCAGAACAAACTGCGTATTGTATCATATTGCTCATATCATTAAAAAAAAAAATGCATGTAACATATTTGCACAAGGTAGCAATGTATACAAGAGGGCTAATCGGGATCAATACACGCTTGCTATATTAGAACCGCGAACGGCTGTGACCACTTCATACAATCAAGGTAAGTCGACATGATCCGATACTACGTGAAAGATACTACAGCTTTTATTTCATTTTCGAGACTCGTTCATCTATTTAAACTGTTCACCCCCTTGAAGATCCAGATAGTTGGTGTGCTCATAGCCTAAAAAAAAAAGATTCATTTTTCTCTGTGGTGTGTTCCCACATTTTTTAAATTTTTACATTTTCTTTCAGATTTATTACTGAATGTTAGACCACTATTGCAAGTTCCCCTTTTTCATTTGTGGCTGTAAAGATGTGCTGATGTCATTTTCACATGCTGCCATTGAAGTTTTTACCTCGCACACCAGATATATTTTTCAATTTTTTTGTGCTTGCGTTGTTACACATGTATTTTGTGAACATAAAATTTGGAGGTCGAGACCGAGACAAGACCAAAACTCTGTATATCAAAGAAAAATCACACACACCCCTGAAAAAAAACAAAAACAAAAGAAAAAAACCCACAACAGAATAAAATTACCAGAATCGTTTTTTTTTTCTTTCATTACGTTTGGAAAAATAACTGGGCAAGCGGCATGGCAGTCCGAGCGACACCGTGAAGGGCTACGGGGCACCCACATTCTGCATTTCTCACTCATCACCCTGTCCGAGACCAAAAAAAAAAAAAATGCCTTTGATTCCAAGACGAGACTGACGACCTTAAAAATAGTTGTGGAGGCCGGTTTTTCAAAAACCAAGACAGATCTCAAGAACGACAACACTAACGAGGGATGGCCAGTGAGCGAGTAGGGCTAACCCTACAACTGCTTGGAGATGCGTCAAGTGAGTCAGATGACTGCAATAATGATGTGACAAGAACACACAAGGCGCGTTTCAAGTGTTGATTTTGCTGATTATCTGGATGGCTGACGGATATTTAAAACGACGCTTGAGGACAAAGGGCGGGCACATCTTTCAAGGAACATCTTCAAAATTGGAAAGCGGAAAGTGAGGGTGTAAACACGATATTTAAATAAGTGCTGCTTGAAGAAAAAAAGTGACAGATAACACATCGGTGTCACTGAACGCCACAAACCGAAACAAGTCAACAAGGTGCGTCGACATACTTTTTCTCTGTCTTGTTGTCATCAGTTTGTCTTATTTGACAGTACAGTATTTATGTTGTTGTTTTCATAAATCTCTGTTGTAGGCGGCTCGTGTTGAACAACACAATGAAATTGCCGCTCTTTGCTTTGAGCCTTTTGCTGCTCTTTGCAGTCGGTGAGTGCATATCTCTCACCGGCACCCGTTTTATTGAAATTCTGCAGTAAAAGTGCAATAAATCGACGTTGACTCAGCATGAGACTTGTTTGAATGTTTTATGGCGTTGACTGATTTTCTGCCATAAATATGTTGTTTTTGAAGGCAGCGATGCTTGTTTCTGAAGTCGAGTTTGTATTTTTCAGCCAACACAAACGAGCTAACTACACCGCCAATTTAACAACGCGTGTTCATTTGGTCAATGTCTCTTGAATTAATAGGCTTTAAATCAATCAAAGAAATCATCAGAGTCATACTGAATCATTCACCTGTCATCAGGGAGGTTTTTTTTTTTTTTCATGTTGCTGACATCCACTTGATTTGTCATTGATTTTTTTTTCTTGTTCTTCTTTAGGCACCAGCGATATTTTCAGTGGTCGCCCCCCAATCGTTCTTCAGTTAAGGGTGGCCGATCCTGGTCTGGCTGCTTGTCCCGATCTGGCTGCTCAGCCTGGTCTGATTGATCCTAATGGCGGCAGAATCATTCGGCACTTCCGCATTCGTAATTGAGACTATCGCAGAGCAGTCATACTCCAGTGAGTATTCTTCTTTGATGGCTGGTACAAATGATGGATGTAAATTACAAACAAATTCATGAAGAAGACGGGGGCAGAATGGTGGGAGTTCGGGGTATAGTCGAAATGCCATGTACTTCATGTCACACAGCTTTTGAAGCAACATATGGGCCACTCCACCAAATGAGCGCTCTTTGCATCCCCAGGAAATGTAAATGTGAAGGAAAATAAACTTCAAAAGTGATGTTTTTTCCCCCCACTCGTGTCCTTCACATTAGTCTGATTGTATATCTAATAAAACAAACGACAAAAGTCAGATTTGACCATGAAATGAAATAATTCAAATCATTTAGAAATCCTACAGTTTCTTTTACGTATTTGTGTTACTTGTTATTCCAACAAGCTTTTTTTTAAAAAAAAAAACAAAAAAACAATTAAAAAAAAAAGTTATTTAAATTCTGTCTTACATCTGAACGTCTTTTACTTTCTCCAACAGGTGTGCCAAAGCGGCAGGGGCGCATCAGGTCCAAATGCTGTCGAGATTTCTCGAGCATTCCTTAATTTTAGTTGGCTTGCAAAGCATTAAAAATCAATTAAAAAATGTAAATATTTGGAGTCTTTTTTGTTGTTGTTGTTGGTGGTGGTGTTAAACAGGAATGTCGGCTGACGTGTGGCCGAAATTGATGGTGGAGACGAGCCAAACGCATTTCTGCATTTCTGATTTTCTATCTTTATGCGTGTGGCCTCTGTGACTGACAAAAAGAATCTTTGAAGATTTGAAAATATGCCATGTGGATACAAATCAGGATTAAAATATCAAAAACGTAGAATTAAGGTAAAGTAAGAATTAAGTAATAAAGTAAGAGAATTTTTTTTTTGTACTGGTAGTTCGAATTTGATGTCAGAATGGGATCCCTTTGGCCAAACGCAGTGGCGAAAAGGGCTCAAGTGGCAGGAAAAGGCAAAATGGCCGCCCTCTGCGATGAAGAAAATCGGGTGGATTTTGCTGCTTGATTCAATTTCCACGAGCGCAATATTAATCAGGATATCGTGTTTACGGGAGCACATTCCTGTCAAGATCATTTTTGACTTGACTTTTCATTTGAAGAACGTTGTGTATAGTTTGTGAACGTAAGTAAACTCAGTCCCAATGGCTTCGCCGCGTAAGATGCCCGCAACCTCCTCTGAAACGGAGAAGTCATTGCTTATCATAGAATCCAAATGTGGGTTGGCCAGAGAGTGACCAGGGGTGGTCGTCGCCACCACGTAGCTCCGCCACAGTCTCGAGATGGGCGAGGCAGTTGGATGACTGGAATAAAGGTCTGGCAAAAACACCCAAGGCAATATCATCAACAGTAAAATCGTCTTTTGAAGTCTTAATTTCATTAATAATTATATAAAGCAAGACGCTTGAGGACAAACGCCGGGGGCATCTTTCATCAAAATTGGAATGTGTAAACATATTTCAACAAGCGCTGCAATAAAAAAAAAAGTGACAGATAACACATCGGTGTCACTGAACGGCACATAGTGAAACGTCCAAATCAACAAGGTGGGTAGACATACATTTTCTTGTCTTGTTTTCTTGAGTTTTGCTTTACTTATAGCATTTCTGTTGCTGTGAAACATTTATTCTCCGTCACAGGCGACTTGTGTTGAACAGCGCAATGAAGTTGCTGCTCTTGGCTTTCAGCCTTTTCCTGCTCCTCGCAGTCGGTGAGTGCATGTCTCTGACTGGACATAACCACAGACGGCCCAATGCGGAAGCTAACCAAGCATTTGCTTGGGGCCCGCGCATGTACAATGAACAGACGAGTGACCCTGGAGTAGGATTTTGTTTTTTAGAGAAGGTAGTGGCGAGGAAGAATCGAGCAAATGACATTCAGCAGAATTTTCAAGGTATCAACAGTTTGAGGTGGCTCACATCCAAACAGCAGTTCTAGGAAGCTATACTCTCATCCTCCCAACCTATAAGCACCCTATTCTAAAACTTGTGTAACAGAGCCTTCGTGGTTTGGTATAATATGCAATAACATTAAAATGATGAGTGAGTTGATTTTTGTAAAAAAATGCACAAAATGCGTTGGTTTGATGTTTGGCAGTTTTGTGCCGTCCTTGAATGGTATTTTTTTGATGCAAGCGAGTATGTAGTTTTCTTGTTTGCTTCAAACGCTTCGTTGTTGACTTAGGATAGTGGCTCTTTTCCATGTACATTGAGAAGTGGTGTCAAAATTGCCTTCCTTACGCTTGAGAGCGCTAGACGCTAAGCTACCTAGCTTGCTCCGCACCGCGCAGGTCTCTTGAAGTAACTGAATGTGTGACTGATGTCCTTTTGATGATTATTCATAATTTTGGGGTTCTTCTTCAGGTGCGGGGGACCGTTTCCATGGCATTCACCATATTCACATGGTTCCTCCCATAATTTGCAAAGCAAGAGTCAATGGTTCCCGCCGGGCCACCCTGGTGTGATTGGTCAGTTAGACAGACATGGCGACAACTTCCGCCAGCGCATCGGCCGTCGTCCCACAGTGGATTAGACGTGAGACTCAGTCATACTCCAGTCTGTATTCTTTTATGTCTGCTACTAATGATATATTCTGGATATAAATGACAATAAAATGAATAAAGAATATTTTAGGGTGGCATGTCCTCACTATTACACAACTTTTAAATGACATGTGGGCCATTAGCGTCTCCAGGAAATAAAATGAAGGAATGAAAATAAAATCTGATTTGTTTCCGTAGGCTCCTGCACATTGGTCTTTGTGTATATTGAATAAAAGAACAAATGAAAAAGTTTACTTCTAATTTAAGGTACAATTTTTTCATCACGTGATCATCTGTGTGGCTAAGTAAATGCTTGTGAGGATTCATTCATTCACTGGCTGGAGGGGAAAAAAAGGGCGGACGGCATCGTTTTCCCCGTTGGCGAGGTTAAGAGCGTTCAGTTTGCATTGATAGCAGGAACTGGGAGGCAAAATGATCTGCATGAATTTTATTGAGAGAAATCTGAAAGTGTGCAGAAGTTACACAGGATTTCATCATTAAAGCAAAGAGCTGATTTTTTTCCAGAGAGGGGGAAAAATATATCACTTGCAATCATACACAAGGGGCCCCAAAGGTTGCGGGGGTCTCCATGTGAACTGATCAGAGCTGCTGTAATATTTAGCTGTTACAATTGTTGGATTGACAGCATTTTACGTTGTAAGTGGAAAATTGATGCTGTTCACAATCCTGATGATTCATGCAATTCCGTTGCTGGTAGCCTGACAGGGAAAAAGAAAACAAGTATTAGGAACACAACATCTGAAGTCAGACTTTTTCTTTTTTTGGGGGGGGGGGGCTAGGGGGGGGGCCTCCATTCAGGACGCACACAAACAACCATTGCTCGCAATCACAATTTGGGGCGCACAATCAACCTGCCATGCATGTTTTTGGGAATGCGGCAGGAAACCGGAGAACACGGGGAGAACTTGGAAAGTCCACACAGCAAGACCGCAGACGGAGTCAAACCTTGCACCTCTGCACTCTGAGGCTAAGAAATCGCAACCGTGCCGACTATGTCAAACTCAAACCAAAAAAAATAACAAAACCTCACTGGACACATCTGTGATTAAAATTTGCTGTTGACCAGTGTTCTTTAAACATGACAAAACAAATGGATTTTTAACAAAACAATTTGAGCAAAAAATGTCTGATTCAAATCCGAAAATATGACAGGGCTTTTTATGATGCTCAGTGGGTCGGCTGAAAGAAGGAAGTGGCCCAGGTGTAGCCTGCAGCCTGTACTTTGCCAACCTCTGATCTAAAAGTGAATGTGAGCATATTGTCCGTATATGTGTGCCCTGTGAATGAAGAGTAAACCGCGTCTTTCTCGTCAAGGTCAGAGGCTCTAACTCACAAGGACAATCCGTCGCAGTTCGCGCAACGACTTTTGGACAATATTTGTAATTGATTCACCGGAAAGCGAGTGTCAGCTCTAATAGATTGTCAAATGAAACGTACTCGGGTCGGATTTGGAGGTCTTGGTGCCGCAGAACGACTGCGTTGGCGAGCACGTCACACTGCGACGATCACAACCCGATTGGCCCGGAAGAGGGACACATTGGTAGCAATCCAAGGCCTCACCTGAGGAAAGAAAAGCGCAAGTTGAAAAGGCGTCATAAAGGAATAGTTTGAGGCCCAAAGGAGAAAAAAAAAAGAGTTTTGGGTCTCCCTGTCTGCCAATAATATTGCTGATTGATCATGCATTGTTGAATTAATGATGATATATTTTGGAGGGAAAAAAAATACATTACAAGAGCAGACAGGCAGACATTTACGTATTCTTAAAAAAAAAAAAAATAAATAAATAAAAAGCATTAAGCCGATTTATCTGCACCACTTGCACAATTGTGATTGGAACCACCGCGCTCCACGTCACGTTTTCTTTGCTCGGTGACTCTCAACGTTTGCACACTCACCCACTGCGAGGAGCAGGAAAACGCCCAAAGCCAAGAGCATCAACTTCATTGTGCCGTTTAAAACGAGTAGCCTGGAACACAAAACGTTCATATTAGAACAACATAAATCAGCATAGCGACACTCGTGACAACAAGGACGAAAAAAGTACATCTTAATACCTGACTTGGAAATTTGTGGTTTGTGTCGTTCAATGGTATCCGCGTGTTATCAGTCACTTTTATTTATAGCGGCTCTTGTTGACTTATCTTGTTTGCACATTCATTGTCCATTTTGCAAATATGCTGATGTGATGTGAAAGATGTAGCCGCCCTTTGTCCTCCAGCATCTTATGAAGTATTTGTCACCCATCCAGATCATGAAAATGAGTGAGAGTTAAACTTCAAAGGTTGAAGTTGGATGGTACCGCACGCATTGTGTGTTCTTGCCAGATCCTCCATTCAAATCATTTAAACTGCCTCACCCATTTCTAAGGACCAACACTCGGCTTTCGGTGGTCCCAACCGGGCAGGCAGCATGTAATCATCCCACTTCTGACACCATTTGTCACAAAAACGCAATCCTTCAATTCATCCCAAATTTATTTGTATATTGCTCTAGTCAAATAAACAAAAAAAAAAAAAAAATGCAACTAAAGTACTTCACAACAATTAGAAATATGTCAACTAAATAACATGAAAGTATTATTAAAACAATAAAAATCAGGAAATGGAACAAGAAATATTTCGAAAATATCAAAAATGAACCACAATACCCAAAGCTACAGGTGCGGCTACAGTCACAACTCAACGGGCCACCGTTAATGTCGAACCCCGCCCAAACTTGGTTCTGGGTCGGCGGGATTTTAAAAAGATAAAACAGGAGAATGCATCCATAAGGCTGATTCTCTGGACCAGTGTGACGTCATCGCGGGGACGCATACGTCACCTGTGTCTTATGATTTGGCATGAGGAAAGAAATGCGGATGTTTTGGGCGGTTGAGTGTGGCATGCAAGTGCAGACACAGCCCAGAGGCACCATTAAAATGATGCTTTTAATAATAATGAGCAAACACATTACCTGCGTAATGTGTGTACCTGGATTAGCATGAATAGACACAAGCGCAGAATGCATGGGAAATGTCAACAAAGTTTCGGCCTCCGAAGCATAATTTATGTTGGAAGAGAACATTTTGAGTTTCAAGCCGAGTTTAAGATTCAAAACAAAGGCTAGAAATTCAATTTGGTGTTTGGGAAAAAAAAAAAAAATCACACTTGGGGGAAAAAAAACATACCGTAGTTTTGCAATCTTGTAAAAAAAGTTCACTTATTTTCAGAAAATTCAGCAATACAATATTTTATTTCAAAGGAAGTGCTCATTTTCGGAGGAGGAGAAATGATATCACCTAACGTGAAAACAAACATTTTTAGATCCCCAAAATTCAGAATCTTAAAAGAATAAAATTATTTTTTTTTCGCCCCCAGACAATCATGCAATAATTTCAGACAAATGTCTTGGCAAAATTCTCCAAAAAAACCCCAAATTTTCAACTGGAGAAAAATTGAAATATTCTCAGAAACGTAAAGGAATGTAAAAGTGAGACTTCATGTCATTTTCCCTCTGGGAATAGTTCAAATAGAAGTTCATAAAGATGTAACCAAGAGTCAAATTTAAGCCTCCTCCACCTAGAACAAACTCCTCATATCATTAAAAAAACATGCATTTGGTGCGTGTAACATATTTGCACAAGGCAGCAATGTATACAAGAGGGCTAATAGGAATCAATACACGCTTGCTATATAAGAAGAGACTTGTGACCACTTCATCCGATCACGGTAAGTCGACACGATCCGATACTACGTGGAAGATACTACAGCTTTTATTTCATTTTCGACACTAGTTCATCTTTTTAAACTGTGCACCGCCTTCAAGCTCCAGATCGTTGGTGCTCATAGCCCAAAAAAAAAACAAAAAAAAAACAAAACTTTTTTTGTTTGAATTTTTCTCTGCGTGTGTTCCAACATCTATTTTTTGACATTTTCTTTCTGAATGTCAGACCACTATTCCAATTTAATTACTGCGCACCCTCTGGGATTAAAACTCATTCACTCCTAAATACGTTTTTTCACGTCTTTTCAGACTTGGTCCAGAATTGGCTGGTACTGAATGAGTTGTTCAAGAGATTGTCGCGTTCCAATGATGAAATTCCCCTTTTTCATTTGCGGCTGTAAAGATGTGCTGATGTCATTTTCACGTGCTGCCATTGATGTTTTTACCTCGCACACCACCAAAGGCGATCGGCGATCTCAGTCCTGGGCAATCACTGTTTTTTTTTTTTTCGATCGTAGATTGTAGCATCCAAACGAAGAGGAGCGCTAATGACCACGGAAGAGAGAGTGGAATGCGTCCGTTTAGCTGCTCAGAGTGAATTGCTTGTAGCTCGACGAACAGTCGAGTAAACGATCGTTTCCTTGGAATGCTGTAACCGGTTATTGTGCTAGAAAACCTTCCGCTAACTGGACCGCTAATTAGAGAGAAGGCAAGTTCCATAGCGCTAACTATAAGCAAAGAGGACTTCCAAGCGTCCCGCGGCTGGCTTCAAAAGTTCGTTGCACGACATCAGCTGAGCAACGCTGTTTTATGTGGGGATCGAGGGGACGTCGTTCGAGACAGCGAGTGAGTGGAAAGAAAAGCCACCAGCTCTGTTAGTAGTCTCATTTTGGAGCAGATAGCACCAATTTCATCACGCGTCTTGTTATACCGTCATTTGTTCATATACCTGGACTGTATGTTGCGGTTTTTGTGTATTTGGACCATATATGTTTGCATTTTTTGTGCTTGTTTTGTTCCACATGGATTTTGTTCACATCATATTTGGAGGTCGAGACCGAGACAAGACCAAGACTTTTAGAGCCCTAGACTAAGACAAGACCAAGACTCTGTATATCAAAGAAAAATAACCCCCCCCCCCCTGAACAAAACAAAACAAACAAGCAGAAAAAAAAAGAATAAAATTACCAGTGTCATTTTTTTTTTCATTCCGTTTGGAAAAATGACTGGGCAGGGGACATGACACCCCAGGTGACACCGGGAAGGCAACGGGGCAGCCACATTCTGCATTTCTCACTTATCCCCCTGTCCGAGACAGAGACAAAAAAAAAAAAAAAATGAGACTGACAACCTTACAAAGTGGTGTGGAGACTGTTTTTTTTTTCAAAAACCAAGACAGATCTCAAGAACTACAACACTCATGCAGGGTGTCCAGTGAGCTAGTAGGGCTAACTCGGCAACTGCTTGAAAATGCGTCAGGTGAGTCAGATGACTGGAATATTGATCTGAGAAGAACACACAAGGCGCGTTTGAAGTGTTGATTTTGCTCATTACCCAGATGGGCGATGTATATTTAAAACGACGCTTGTGGACAAAGGGTGGGAGCATCTTTCAAGGGACGTGAAAGTTGGAATGCGGAAAGTGTGGGTGTTAACACGATACAGTATTTAAATAAGTGCTGCTTAAAATAAGAAAAGTGACCAATTCGACGTCGTTATCATTGAACACCACAAACCGAAACCTTCAAGTCAACAAGGTGCGTCTTCGTACTTTTCTCCGTCTTGTCGTCATCGGTTTGGCTTATTTGACGCGATGTATGTTGTTATGTCATAAATCTCTGTCGTAGGCGGCTCGTGTTGAACAACACCATGAAGTTGGCGCTCTTCGCTTTGAGCCTTTTGCTGCTCTTTGCAATCGGTGAGTGCATATCTCTCACCGGCAGCCGTTTTATTGAAATTCTGCAGTAAAAGTGCAATAAATCGACGTTGACTCAGCATGAGACTTGTTTGAATGTTTTCTGGCGTTTACTGATTTTCTGTACCAAATATGTTGTTTTTTTTTAGGGCAGCGATGCTTGTTTCTGAAGTCGAGTTTGGATTTTTCAGCCGACACAAACGAGCTAACTACACTGCCAATTTAACAACGCGTGTTCATTTGGTCAATGTCTCTTGAATTAATAGGCTTTTAAATCAATCAAAAATATCATCGGAGACACACTGAATCATTTTCCATAGGTCTTATCGGTGACGGGTTTTTTTTTCATGTTGCTGACATCCACTTGATTTTTTTTTCTTGTTCTTCTTTAGGCACCAGCGATATTTTCAGTGGTCGCCCTCCAATCGTTGCTCAGTTAAAGATGGCCGACCCTGGTCTGGCTTCTGGCCCTCTTGGCAGATTCTTTCACCAACCGCTTGTTGGCAGATTCCTTCGGCAGTCTTGATCATGGATCAGTCATACTCCAGTGAGTATTCTTTGATGGCTGGTACAAACGACGGATGTAAATTACAAACAAATTCATGAAGAAGACGGTGGCAGAATGGTGGGAGTTCGGGGTATGGTTGTGTGAGAGAGTAGACAAACACAATATTGTCATGTTTTAAAGTTTCATTTTGTGGCATGCTCGAGTGACCTCGAAACGCGTGTGTGTTCACACATCTTGCGCACAATGGAGTCCAGAGAATCAGGGGTCAATTTGAGGTGAAGCGTATGGTACCTGACCACATCTCAGAAAGATTGAACTCTCGTTAGTAGACACACAGGCGCCTGTTAACTGACAACTTGGAAAGGAAGATTTAACTTTGGGCGAAAGGGAGGACTCGGTACGCTCCGTCATGAGAAAGGGTCACTAGTTAGGTTACAAACGTATCCATCCGTTCATGGAAAGGCCACTCAGTTCCTTCATTAAAAACTACGTCCCCTGCCGGCAGTGAAAGTCGATCTGTTCTTGCGTTCGAGCCTTTGTTCGACAGTCCGAGCGAACATCTCTGACAAGTCGAAATGCCATTTACATCATGTCACACAGCTTTTAAACAACATATGGGCCACTCCACCAAATGAGCGCCGTTTTCATCCCCAGGAAATGTAAATGCGCAGGAAAAATCAACTTCAAAATTGTTATTTTTTTTTTTCACTCGTGTCCTGCACATTAGTCTGATCGATCGTAAATTTCATAAAACAACAAATGAAAAAAGTCAGACTTGACCATGAGCTAAAATAATTCAAATCATTTAGAAATCCTACAATTTTTTAATATATTTGTGTTACTTGTTATTCCAACAAGCTTTTTAAAAAAAATAAAAATAAATAAATAAACCAAAACAACAATTTAAAAAAAAATTAATTAAATTCTGTCTTACATCTGAACGTCTTTTACTTTCTCCAACAGGTGTGCCAAAGCGGCAGGGGCGCATCAGGTCCAAATGCTGTCGAGATTTCTCGAGCATTCCTTAATTTTAGTTGGCTTGCTAAGCATTAAAAATCAATAAAAAAAATGTAAATATTTGGAGTCTTTTTTTTGTTGTTGTTGTCGTTGGTGGTGTTAAACAGCAATGTAGGCTGACGTGTGGCTGAAATTGATGGTGGAGTAAAGCCGAACGCATTTCTGCATTTCTGATTTTCTTTCTTTATGTGGACTCTGTCACTGACAAAAAGAATCTTTGAAAATGTGAAAATATGCCCTGTGTGTACAAATCAGGATTTAAGCCTCAAAAATGTAGAATTAATGAGGATGAAACAAGAGGTTTTTTTTTTTTGTTTTTTTTTTAGTACTGGTAGTTCGATACAGTTTGATGTCAGAATGGGATCCCTTTGGCCAAATGGAGTGGCTCAAGGGCTCAGGTAACGGGCGGGACAACACTGTGGTGTCGCCTTGGAGTCGACAGCAAGTGGCAGGGAAAGGCAAAATGGCCGCCCTCATTTTTCTAGATCATTTTCGACTTGACTTTCCATTTGAAGAACGTTGTGTATAGTTTGAAAGTTATCACCTCGGTTGTGGGTACTACGCTAGTTGTCAAGACAACTACTCCTGTGACAAATGGAGTGAACGTGAACTCACTCCGACTTGCTCTCATTTTGATGCACGTCGAGTTTCTGAACACAACAGAACCAGATTGACCGATTCATGGGCAAATGGTGTCAGAGCTCGGATTGTTATATACTGCCTGCCCCAGTTGGAAGGACCCAAGGGTACTGTGAACCCTGAGCACGGCCCCTGGACGCAGTAGCGTAGACTGAACATTTTCAGAGTAGTGGCCGGGGTATCACAACATGTGCGCAACCTCCTCTGAAACGGAGAAGTCATTGTTTATCATATAATCCAAATGCGGGGTGGCCAGCGAGTGGTTCAGGGTGGCCGTGGCCACCACGTAGCTCCGCCGCTGTCTCGAGATGGGCGAGGCAGTTGGATGACTGGAATAAAGGTCTGCCAAGAACACCCAAGGCAATACCATTTACAGTAATATCGTCTTTTGAAGTCTTAATTTCATGAATAATTATCATATTAAACAAGACGCTTGAGTACAAACGCCGGGGGCATCTTTCATCAAAATTGGAATGTGTCAACATGATATTTCAATAAGCGCTGCTATAAAAAGAAGTGACCGATAACACATCGGTGTCACTGAACGGCACATCGTGAAACCTCCAAATCAACAAGGTAGGTAGACATACATTTTCTTGTCTTGTTTTCAGGAGGTTTGCTTTATTTACAGCATTTCTGTTGCTGTGAAACATTTATTCTCCGTCACAGGCGACTTGTGTTGAACAGCGCAATGAAGTTGCTGCTCTTGGCTTTCAGCCTTTTCCTGCTCCTCGCAGTCGGTGAGTGCATGTCTCTGACTGGACATAACCACAGACGGCCCAAGGCATAAGCTAACCAAGCATTTTTTGTTACCCAAAATAATAACCCAGAAAACACTTTTACAGGCACCATTTGTCATTGTTTCAATTTATTATGTAATGAAATTTCATTGGAACAATTGGTGCAAATGACATTCAGCAGAATTTTCAAGTTATCAACAGTTTGAGGTCGTTCACATCCAAACAGCAGTTCTAGGAAGCTATACTCACATCCTCCCAAACTATAAGCACCCGATTTTAAAACGGGTGTAACAGAGCCTTTGTGGTTTGGTATAATATGCAATAACATTAAAATGATGAGTGAGTTGATTTTTGTAAAAAAAATAAAAATAAATAAAATAAAAATAAAAAAATGCACAAAATGCGTTGGTTTGCTGTTCGGTAGTTTTGTGCCGTCCTTGAATGGTATTTTTTTTTTTTTATGCAAGCCAGTATGTAGTTATTTTCTTGTTTGCTTCAAACGCTTGGTTGTTGACTTAGGACAGTGGCTCTTTTCCATGTACATTGAGAAGTGGTGTCAAAATTGCCTTCCTTTCTCTTGAGAGCGCTAGACGCTACGCTACCTAGCTTGCTCCGCACCGCGCAGGTCTCTTGAAGTAACTTAATGTGTGACTGATGTCCTTTTGATGATTATTCATAATTTTGGGGTTCTTCTTCAGGTGCGGGGGACCGTTTCCATGACATTCGTCAAATTCACATGGTTTTCTCCCATAATTTGGAAGCCAAGAGATATCGCACCCCGGCGCGCCACCCTGGTGTGATTGGCCAGTTAGACAGACATGGCGACAACCTCCGCCGGCGCGTCGGCAGTCTCACAGTGGACGAGACGTGAGACTCAGTCATACTCCAGTCTGTTTTCTTTTATGTCTGGTACTAATGATATATTCTGGATAAACTAAATGACAATAAAATGAATAAAGAATATTTTAGGGTGGAGGTGGCATGGTTAAAAAAACGGCATGTACTCAATGTCACACAGCTTTTAAATGACATGTGGGCCATTAGCGTCTCCGGGATTTAAAATGAAGGAATGCAAAATAAAATCAGATTTGTTTCCGTAGGATCCTGCACATTGGTCTCTGTGTATATTTAACTCATTCAATCCCAGCCATTTTCACTGGAGCAAACCCCCTCAATCCCAGTGTTTTACTGGATTTTGACTGATCTTGCAAGGCCCACAGAATATTTAGTTCGAATGCTTTATAAACATGGAGCCTACCAAAATAAAGTTTGGACAAAAATTTTGTTTCTATCTTTTTCCATTCTTCAGCAATCGGCATTACAAAATGGCTAAGTTTCATGAAAATGGCGATTCCTGGGCAAAAAAACGGAGAAAAAGAGCTTTTTGTAAAAGCATGCATTTCAAGCGTATGAGGCACCACTACCACCTACTACTGGTCACTTTTTTTACATGATTTACAATGCAAACGGCTTATTCTCATTCACAGATTGCATCATCCCCTCCTCCTCTCTGTGACGCAAAAAACGTACAAGTACATCTTTGGTAGGCGGGAACTCATTTTAAAAAGACGTACAAGTACGTCTTGTGGAGTTTAAGAGTTAATAAAAGAACAAATGACAAGTTTACTTACAATTTAAGGTACCATTTTTTCATCACGTGATCATTTGTGTGGATAAGTAAATGCTTGTGAGGATTCGTTCATTCACTGGCTGGAGGAAAAAAAGGGTGGACGGCATCGTTTTCCTCGTTGGAGAGGTTCAGTGCGTTCAGTTTGCATTTATAACAGGAACTGGGAGGCAAAATGATCTGCATGAATTTTATTGAGAGAAATCTGAAAGTGTGCGTAAGTTACACATGATTTCATCGTTGAAGCAAAGCGCGGATTCTTCTCTTCCTGCCATTTTGCATTGGATAGAGCCAGAGAGGGGAAAAATATATCACCTGCGATCATACACAAGGGGCCCCAAAGGGTCTCCATGTGAGGTGATCAGAGTTGCTGTCATATTCACTTGTTACAATGGTTGGATTGACAGCATTTTACATTGTAAGTGGAAAATTGATGCTGTTCACAATCCTGATGAGTCATGCAGTTCTTCTGCTGGTAGCCTGACAGAGAAAAAGGAAAAAAAAAAGTATGAGTAACACAACATCTGAAGTCAGATGCTCACAATCACAATTTGAGGCGCCCAATCAACCTGTCATTCATGTTTTTTGCAATGTGCAGAACCCGGAGAAAACCCACGCAAGCACGGGGAGAACATGGAAACTCCACACAGCAAGGCATCCAGATCATTAAAATTAGTGAGAGTTAAACTTCAAAGGTTGATGTTGGATGGCACCACACGCATTCTATGTTCTTGCCAGATCCTCCATTCAAACCATTTAAACGGCCTCACCCATTTCTAATCATAATAATAATAATAATACATTACATTTATAAGCGCCTTTCAAAACACTCAAGGACACTTTACAATCAAAACAAGAACAATAAAACCACAGATAAAATTATAAATAGTAAAAGGAGAGGTGAATTTAAACTGAATTTAGCGACTCGAAATTGTTGACGCCGGCAACATCGCAACATTCTAAGGACCAACATTCAGGTTTTGGTGGTCCCGAAAGGTCCTCCCAACCGGGCAGGCACCACTCCGGACACCATTTGTCACAAAAACTCAATCTGAAATGATTAAAAAAATATCAAAAATGAACCACAATACCCAAAGCTAAAGGTGGTCTCACAACTCAATACGGCGGCATAGCGGCGACGGGCCACCGTTAATGTGTCGAACCCCGTCTCAACCTGGATTTCAACTTGGTTCTGGGTCGGCGGGATTTTAAAAAAAGATAACATCCGAGAATGCATACACAAGGCTTATTCTCTGGGCGTGACGTCATCGCAGTGTGTTCAGAATTCATACACACACACACACACGCACACACACACACACACACACACACACACACACACACACACACACACACACACACACACACTACACACAGTATATCAATCGGAATGTAATTAAATTGTGTTTTTAGATCAAATAAAAACTTTTGAGTTAGATACTTCACAGATGAGCAGAAAACCCTGAAACACATCCCTTCAGTTTCCAAAATGTTTGGGGGCGGGGGGGCAAATGGGGACACACACGTCACCTGTGTCTTATGATTTGGCATGAGGAAAGAAATGCGGATGTTTTGGACGGTTGAGTGTGGTATGCAAGTGAAGACACAGCCCAGAGGCACCATTAAAAATGATGCTTTTAATTATTAGCAAACACATTACATGCGTAATGTGTGTACTGTACCTGGATTAGCATTAATAGTCACAAGCGGAGAGTACATGGGGAAATGTTAACCAAGTTTCGGCCTCCGAAGCATAGTTCATGTTCAAAGAGAAAATTAAGGGAAACAATTTCGAGTTTCAGGCCGAGGTTAAGGTTCAAAAGAAAGGCTAGAAATTTAATTTGGTGTTTGGAAAAAAAACATACTTGGAAAAAAAAAATCTTGCAATATTGTCAAAAAATGTCCCTTACATTCAGAAAATTAGGCAATAAAATATTTTATTTCAAAGGAAAAACGAATTTTTGGAGGAGGAGAAATTATGTCACCAAACAAGAAAACAAGCATTTTCAGATCCCAAAAATTCAGAATATTAAAAGAATAAAACGATTTTTTTCCCCCAGAAAAATCATGGAATAATGGAAGTGTCATGATTCTGTTTGTGACCAACAGGTGGCACTGTAGGGCTTCCCCCTGCAGCTGCACACCTGTTGGTCATTAGGTAATTAGTGCTTTAAAAGGACTCCCAGCCCGACCGCTCATTGTTGGGTCATTGTTGCTGTTTGTTGGCTGCTGGCATGTTTGTTTCAGCCAGGTTTTGGTCATTGTTATGTTTTATCTTCAGTCATGTGTTTTCTTTGATACTTTGGACTTTGTTTGTTTAGGATTTAGTTTTCTGTGTTTTATCAATACACTTCTTCAAATACAACCTTCTCCTCCCTCTTGCCTGCTTTTTGGATCCACCACCACCACGCAATTGTGACAGTAAGTCTTTTCAAACATTCTCAAAATAAAAACACATTTTCAAAGGGAAAAAAATTTGAAATATTCTCAGAAACGTAAAGGAATGTAAAAGTGAGACTTTATGTCCCTCTGGGAGTAGGTCAAAGTTAAGTTCATAAAACTGTAACCGAAAATCAAATTTATGCCTCCTCCAACCAGAACAAACTGCATATTGTATTGTATTATATTGCTCATATCATTAAAAAACATGCATGTAACATATTTGCACAAGGTAGCAATATATACAAGAGGGCTAATCGGGATCAATACACGCTTGCTATATTAGAAGGGCCAACGGCTGTGACCACTTCATCCAATCAAGGAAAGTCGACATGATCGATACTTCGTGAAAGATACTACAGCTTATATTTCATTTTAGATACTCATTCATCTTCTTAAACTGTTCACCTCCTTGAAGATCCAGATAGTTGGTGCTCATAGCCTAAAAAAAAAAATTCATTTTTCTCTGCGGTGTGTTCCAACATTTTTTTAATTTTTACATTTTCTTTCAGATTTATTAATGAATGTTAGACCACTATTGCAAGTTCCCCTTTTTCATTTGTGGCTGTAAAGATGTGCTGATGTCATTTTCACGTGCTGCCATTGAAGTTTTTACCTCGCACACCACCAAAGGCGCACGCACCACAGTTCGGCGATCTCAGTCCTGGGCAATCACTGTTGCCATGACTGAAATAGTGAACAATTTTTTTTTATTTCGTTCATTTACATTAACGTCCCGTAAATCGTGGCATCCAAATGACCGTGGAAGAAGAGTGGAATGAATCCGATTAGCTGCTCAGAGTAAATTGCTTGTGGTTCGAAGGACAAGTCGAGTAAACGAGCGTTTCCTGGAACGCTTTACCCGTTATCATGCGAGAAAACCTTCCGCTAACTGATACCGCTAATTAGAGAGAAGGCAAGTTCCATCGCGCTAACTATGGGCATCGAGGACTTCCAAGCGTCCCATGACTGGCTTCAAAAGTTCTTTGCACGACATCAGCTGAGCGACGCTGTCTTGCGTGGCGATCGAGGGGGAGGTCAAGTTAGAGACAGACAGTGAGTGAGTGGAAAGACAAGCCACCAGGTCTGTTACTAATCTCATTTTTGAGCAAATAGCCCTCACTTTGTCACGCGTTTTGTTATACTGAATTTTTTCATATACCTGGACTGTACTGATGACCTTAAAGTATTGTGGAGACTGTTTTTTTTTCCCAAAAAACCAAGACAGATCTCAAGAACTACAACACTAACGTGGGATGGACAGTGAGCGAGTGAGGCTAACCCTACAACTGCTTGGAGATGCGTCGGGTGAGTCAGATGACTGCAATAATGATGTGACAAGAACACACAAGGCGCGTTTCAAGTGTTGATTTTGCTGATTATCTGGATGGCTGACGGATATTTAAAAAGACGCTTGAGGACAAAGGGCGGGCGCATCTTTCAAGGATCGTCTTCAAAATTGGAAAGCGGAAAGTGAGGGTTTAAACACGATATAAATAAGTGCTGCTTTCAGAAAAAAGTGACAAATTAGACGTCATTTTCATTGAACACGACAAACCGAAAACTTCAAGTCAACAAGGTGCGTCTTTGTACTTTTCTCCGTCTTATTGTCACCAATTTGGGTTATTTGACGGTGTTTATGTTGTTGTGTCATAAATCTCTGTCGTAGGCGGCTCGTGTTGAACAACACAATGAAGTCGGCGCTCTTCGCTGTGAGCCTTTTGCTGCTCCTCGCAGTCGGTGAGTGCATATCTCTCACTGACCACTGACGGCCCAAGGGAGAAGCTAACGTAACGCCCGCTGAGGTTTCCGACATGAGCAATTGAAGGGGGTTTTCATTCGTTCTTGTGCTATTTTTGCAAAAAACAACGGAAGCAAAAACAAAACGCAGCAGTTTTGTTTTTTTTCTTCAAACCAAAAATAATAAACCCAGGCAACAGTTTGACGGTGAATGCTGTGGACGGGTTTATTTTTGACACGACTGGCTTTCAATTTATTTGGAAATTAGATTTTTCTATTTGGAATCCTTTTTGTTTTCATACTAATTTTCGTTGTTCACAACAGGATTGTCTTTGAGGAAACCCGAACGTCGACACACTTGCGACATCGCTTCGGCCAATATGGACGCACCCGTTTGATCGAAATTCTTCAGTAAAAGTGCTATAAATCAACGTTGACTCAGCATGAGACTTGTTTGAATGTTTTCTGGCGTTTACTGATTTTCTGTACCAAATATGTTGTTTTTGAAGGCAGAGATGGTTGTTTCTGAAGTCGAGTTATATTTTTCAGCCTACACAAACGAGCTAACTATACTGCCAATTTAACAATGCGTGTTCATTTGGTCAATGTCTCTTGAATTAATAGGCTTTTAAATCAATCAAAAATATCATCGGAGACACACTGAATCATTTTCCATAGGTGTTATCGGTGACGGGTTTTTTTTCGTTGCTGACATCCATTTGATTTCTCTTTTTTTTTCTTGTGCTTCTTTAGGCACCAGCGATATTTTCAGTGGTCGCCCCCCAATCGTTCGTCAGTTAAGGCTGGCCGATCCTGGTGAAGATGATTCCGGTCTGACTGTTCAGCCTGGTCTGATTGATCCTCATGGCAGCAGAATCATTCGCCGCGTTCGTAATTGAGAGTATCGCAGAGCAGTCATACTCCAGTGAGTGTTCTTTGATGGCTATAACAAATGACGGATGAAAATTACAATCAAATTATTACTTCATGTCACACAGCTTTTCAACAACATATGGGCCATTCCACCGAATGCTTTGCATCCCCAGGAAATATAAATGCTCAGTCAGATCACAATCAAAATAGTTTTTTTTTTGATTCAGTCGTGTCTTGCACATTAGTCTGATCGTATATTTAATAAAACAACAAATGACAAAAGTCAGACTTGACCATGAAATAATTCAAATCATTTAGAAATCCTGCAGTTTTTTTTTCTACACATTTGTTATTCCAACAATCTTATTTTATTAAAAAAAAAAACAGTTAAGAGTCATTTAAATTCTGTATTAAATCTGAACATCTTTTACTTTCTCCAACAGGTGTACCAAAGCGGCTGGGGCGCATCAGGTCCAAATGCTATCGAGACTTCTCAAGCATTCCTTAATTTTAGTTGGCTTGCTAAGCATTAAAAATCGATAAAAAAAAATTGTAAATATCTGGAGTCTTTTTTTTTTGTTGTTGATGTTGGTGGTGTTAAACAGGAATGTCGGCTGACGTGTGGCCGAAATTGATGGTGGAGACAAGCCAAACGCATTTCTGCATTTCTGATTTTCTTTCTTTATGCGTGTGGCCTCAGTCACTGACAAAAAGAATCGTTTAAGATTTGAAAATACGCCCTGTGTGTTAAAATCTGGATTAATTAATGTATAAAAAATGTAGAAATAAGGAGGATAAAGTCAGCGTAATTTTTTTTTAGCACTGGTTGTTTGTCAGAATGTGATCCCTTTGGCCAAATGGAGTGGCTCAAGGGCTCAGGTCACGGGCGTGACAACGCTGTGGTGTCGCCTTGGAGTCGACAGGAAAAGGCAAAATGGCCGCCCTCATTTTTCAAGATCATTTTCGACTTGACTTTCCATTTGAAGAACGTTGTGTATAGTTTGAAAGTTATCACCTCGGTTGTGGGTACTACAACTACTCCTGTGACAAATGGAGTGAACGTGAACTCACTCCGACTTGCTCTCATTTTGATGCACGTCGAGTTTCTGAACACAACAGAACCAGATTGACCGATTCATGGGCAAATGGTGTCAGAGCTCGGATTGTTATATACTGCCTGCCCCAGTTGGAAGGACCCGAGGGTACTGTGAACCCTGAGCACGGTCCCTGGACACAGTAGCGTAGCCTGAACATTTTCAGAGTAGTGGCCGGGGTATCACAACATGTGCGCAACCTCCTCTGAAACGGAGAAGTCATTGTTTATCATATAATCCAAATGCGGGGTGGACAGCGAGTGATTCAGGGTGGCCGTGGCCAGCACGTAGCTCCGCCACAGTCTCGAGATGGGCGAGGCAGTTGGATGACTGGAATAAAGGTCTGGCAAAAACACCCAAGGCAATATCATCAACAGTAAAATCGTCTTTTGAAGTCTTAATTTCATTAATAATGATCATATTAAACAAGACGCTGAAGGACGAAGGGCGGGCGCATCTTTCATCAAAATTGGAATGTGTCAACATATTTCAATAAGCGCTGCTATAAAAAAAAGTGACCGATAACACATCGATGTCACTGAACGGCACATAGTGAAACCTCCAAATCAACAAGGTAGGTAGACATACATTTTCTTGTCTTGTTTTCAGGAGGTTTGCTTTATTTACAGCATTTCTGTTGCTGTGAAACATTTATTCTCCGTCACAGGCGACTTGTGTTGAACAGCGCAATGAAGTTGCTGCTCTTGGCTTTCAGCCTTTTCCTGCTCCTCGCAGTCGGTGAGTGCATGTCTCTGACTGGACATAACCACAGACGGCCCAATGCGGAAGCGAACCAAGCATTTACTTTGAATGTACAATGAACAGACGAGTGACCCTGGAGTAGGATTTCTTTTTTAGAGAAGGTAGTGGCGAGGAAGAATCGAGCAAATGACATTCAGCAGAATTTTCAAGGTATCAACAGTTTGAGGTGGCTCACATCCAAACAACAGTTCTAGGAAGCTATACTCTCATCCTCCCAAACTATAACCACCCGATTCTAATACGTGTGTAACAGAGCCTTTGTGGTTTGGTATAATACGAAGGACAAACATAATACCTCAATAAGATTAAAATTGAGTGATTTAATTTTTGTGAAAAAATGCACAAAATGCGTTGGCTTGCTGTTCGGCAGTTTTGTGCCGTCCTTGAATGGTATTTTTTTTAATTTTTTTTTTATGCAAGCGAGTATGTAATTATTTTGTTTGCTTCAAACGCTTGGGTGTTGACTTAGGACAGTGGCTCTTTTCCATGTACGTTGAGAAGTGGTGTCAAAATTGCCTTCCTTTCTCTTGAGCGCTAGACGCTACGCTACCTAGCTTGCTCCGCACCGCGCAGGTCTCTTGAGGTAACTTAATATGCGATGGATGTCCTTTTGATGATTATTCATAATTTTGGGGTTCTTCTTCAGGTGCGGGGGACCGTTTCCATGACATTCGTCAAATTCACATGGTTTTCTCCCATAATTTGGAAGCCAAGAGATATCGCACCCCGGCGCGCCACCCTGGTGTGATTGGCCAGTTAGACAGACATGGCGACAACCTCCGCCGGCGCATCCGCCTTCCTTCCACAGTGGATTAGACGTGAGACTCAGTCATACTCCAGTCTGTATTCTTTTATGTCTGGTACTAATGATTTTTTCTGGATATAAATTAAAATGAATAAAGAATATTTTAGGGTGGAGGTGGCATGAGTAAAAAAATTGCATGTAAAAATGGCATGTACTCCATGTCACAGCTTTTAAATGACTTGTGGGCCATTAGCGTCTCCAGGAAATAAAATCAATGCATGCAAAACAAAATCTATAGATTTGTTTCCTTAGGATCCTGGACATTGAACAAATGACCAGTTTAGTTCCAATTTAAAGTACAATTTTTTTTTTTTGCCTCCTAAAATTAGACACCATCGTAAAACATAATTTTTTAAATCCCTTAGAAATGTAACTTTTTTTTTACATAGTTGTGTTATGCTTTATCTATCCCAACTATGCTTTAAATTGAATTTATCGGTAAAGACAAAACCAAAAAAAAAAATTCAAATTCATGCTATTGGTTTTCAATTAGTTTTGTTACCCTACACATTTCCCCCACTGAAAAACTGAATTTTCCACAAGTCACATGGTCCGCAAGCAATTGTCCCATTTAGATTCTCTGCAGTCCACAAAGAGGCCAAAATGAAGTTCACTCATTCGTTTTTTTGTATGTTTGATGAGTTTTGTAGGAGTGGGAGAGTCGAAATCACTTGGCACAGTGATGCGACCTAATTAATTTATGGGCGGTGTTATTTGTGTATTCTCCAAATATTTTTTGTTGTTGTTGAATCACCTTGCGAGAGAGAGAGAGAGAGAGAGAGAGAGAGAGAGAGAGAGAGAGAGAGAGAGAGAGAGAGAGAGAGAGGGAGAACACGATGATCCCCAGAAAGAGAATGAAGAGCTAAAGTCTTAAATCTGAACCTCTTGAACTTTCTCCAACAGGTGGACCAAAGCGGCAGGAGTGCATCAGGTCTGAATGCCGTCAAGAATCCCCCAGCATTCATTAATTTGAGTTCACTTGCAAAGCATTAAAAAGAAATTTTTGAAAAAAAAATGAAGTGCATACTTTGGACTCCTTTTTTGTTGGTGATGTTAAACATGAATGTGTGCTGATGTATGTTGTGTTTGAGAGCTAGTTGAAAATCCCACGGTGTGTGGTGTGCAGCCACCTGGCAAAACCAACACATCGCCCACAAACAGATTCCCCTCACGAATCGTCCCAGGTCAGATGGTGCAACTTTACTCCACGTCTGGCTACACTTGTTGAAACTTTAACCCTTTCAGGTACTGCGGTTACCACAGTGGACAGCTCATCATGTTATCAGGTTACGGGGTGCATGAAAGGGGGAACTTGCTTCCACTGCTATTTTTCTTCCCCTCAAATTTTGCTGGTATCGGCAGCCTTCATGAGTACTCGGTACCTTGAAATAAGTCTGATATCAGCCCTATACCAAAACATCATATTGGTCCTCACCCATCCCGACAATTATTCTTGCCCTTCAATGAAAAAGATTTGATCCACTGTTGTTTGAATTGACAGGATGACGTAACATCCTCGTCATGACCGGCCCCCTGAGAGCACCCGTAACTGTAATGTGAACTGCGACGAAAACAAATTGGACGCTCCTGCATCCATTCATTCACAACACCTACAAAAAAAAAAAAAAGACTCCAAATATTCACTTGTACATTTAATTGCTTTTTCGAATGATGCTCTGCAAAACAACTTTATTAAGGATGTCGAGTCCTGAGGATCCTTGGATGCACTCTGATTCGACTCCTGTCAAAGAAAGCAGAAGCATTTCAAACTTCCAATCACACTGTCAATACGTGTTTCAAATATACACGTGAAAAGGAGAATACTGACTTGACTTGGAGTGCATCTGCCTAATGGCCATGGTGGAGATCATGGAGAGGCAAACGGTGGACATCATGGTGATGGCCGTGGTGGAGGTCATGGAGAGGCAAACGGTGGAGTTCATGGTGATGGCCATCATGGAGATCATGGTGATGGCCATGGTGGAGGTCATGGCTATGGCCATCATGGAGATCATGGTGATGGCCATGGTGTTCGGCACCTGCTCCTCAAAAAGAACCATCGAAAACCAAAATCAATCAGATGGACGGATGCTGTGCAAACTCATTGGGATTCTCGCAAAGGATTGACACCTTTACCTGCGACAAGCAGCAGGGCGACGGCGAAAGCCAAGATCATCATCTTCATTGTGATGGTCAATGCAGCGGTCTGGGAGAGACAGAACACGAGATCGTGAAGAACGGGGGCGCACCAACGGGTCGTATCCGTTTTCGCCAAATTCAAACAAATCCATTTTACTTTTAATTTAAATTTGAGAGAAACAGTTCTGTACCGCTACTGTACTGCACGCACCCCCCGGGGGTTCACAAGATTATAATTGTAAAGGCAGTCAGGGAGGTTGAGTCTAAAAATTGATCCTTGAGTTTGAAAAGGGCTGCACAGCTCGACAAGTGTCTAAAATGAAATTAGAGCCATAGTATCTACCACATAGTATCGGATCATGTCGACTTACCTTGACGATTTGTCTTGATGGATTTCTGCAAGTCGGTTGATGAAGCGGTCGTGGCTGTTCGCTCTTATATAGTGAGCGTATGTTGTTTCTCCTGGCCCTCTTGTACACATTGCTACCTTGTTCAAATATGTTGCATACATCAATTTGTCATAATTACCCAGTTTTTAACGATATGAGCAGTTTGTTCTGGGTGGAGGAGGCTTAAATTTGCCTCTTGAGGTATGGTTTAATGAGCAAAAATGATTATTGCATTCATTTTTGCGCACACAAGACATGCATATTGCTTATAACGTCGAAACCTTTTTCCTTGATAAAATATGATGTTATTCCCCAACCTTTTTCCTTGATAGAATATGCTATTCCCCGAATAATACGATGTTTTTGTAATAGAAACTCGTGCAAAAAATATGACTATCTTGTAAGATTTGTGACATTTTTCTCATTCTTGAATATTTCAGAACATTGGGACTTTTTTTTCTGAAAACAAATACGATTTTTCCCTTAGAATTTTATCACCCCTTCTTGTTATATTCTTCCTCCCCCAAAATATTTTCTGAATTGGATGTGATTCTTTCAACATCATGATTTTTATTCTTTTAGCACAGGGGTGCCCAATACGACCGGGAGCTCGCGGACTGGTCCCAAGTCGAACGCGAGGGGTATCGAGGGGGAAAAAGTACAACCATAAAACATTTTGTGTGTCTGTGTGCGTGTTTTCACATGATATATTTTTGTATTAGTGGATAGTGAACCCTGAGCACTCTATCAGTCTCACTTTTACTAAAAATATTTAAAAAATAAATTCATTTAAAAAGTAAGTTACCTTTAACATACGATGGCCCATGACCAGCATCACCGGAAGTTGTTAGCGGCTAGCAGGTTGCAATTGCAGCTTGCGGTCAGAGCTGTTGCGGTACATCATTTATTTATTATTTACAATTTACCGAGGGGAAAGAATGCGAATCTGGAGTGCCGGGAGAAGAAGCATTTTAAAACGGTACACGCGAGTTACGCGTGCCATGCCTCCGCGTCAGGTCTCGACCAAGGTAGGAATTGTCTTTGTGATTTCCATTTTTTTTAATCTTGGAAAGTTAAAAAAAAAAATCGCGTTTCACAAATACCTTTTCATTCACTACTTTTTTCCCCCATGGCGCTTTTGGTTTCTGCAAATGTTACATATACATCCAATTAAGGTAATTAGCTCGTAAAGATTTGAACAGTTTGTCCTTGGTGGAGTCAGTTTTCTTTTGATGATTGATGGATGGCTTTCGAAGCCTCGACGAAGTCAAATTTGCAAAAGAATGTTTTCGATTGCAATAACATTTTGGGCATTTCCTTGAAATATGTTTTTTTTTTTTTCAGATTGTATCCAAACCTATATGCGGTTTCAATTTTTGTCAGAATATTGCTGTATTTTTGAATTTTTGGGACTTTTTCAAGACATTTTTAACCCCCCCCCCCCCCATCTCAAACAAATACATTGCATTACTATTTACGTCTTTTTCTATTATTCCAAATTTCTTTTGTTAGAATATGACTGTTTTTCTTGGAAAATCATGACTTCTTTCTTAAATTCTTATTTCCCTCTCCCAAAGTCTTTACAAGTTTCCTCAAAATACATTTGTTCTTTTAGAATTGGAATAGTACTCTGCTCGTTTTCCTTTATTATTATTATTATTTTTTTTTTACGAATATTAGTGTTTTGCCCTCTAATATCATCATCCTTTGTAAAACCGTTTCGCTTTGAAATATTACAACTTTTTGGGTTTGATTACCTCTTTTCACTGGAATATTCACTCCCCCAGACTCACCCCTCACCCCCGCCCATTACCACCCACTCAAAGGAAATTACTACCTTTGATCGCACTTTTGGAAATTACAACAGAAAGTTTGGAAGGATTTATGAAGAATAAAAAAAATAAAGGAGAAGAAAGAGCAGACAAATGCTTTTTACAGAACCACTTTTCATTTTAATGAATACAATCAAAAACATTTGTGCAACATTTTCAATTTTAAAAAATGGATGACGTTTTTATTTTGTTTGTTTGTTTCCGACTATTTGGCTGACACTTAAAGCTATATGGAAAGTTAAAATGAACCAGAAGAAACATCAGCTTTCTGGAGTTATTATTGTCAAGATCATATAATTGGGGCGGGTGCTTGTTCGGGGACACGGTTTATGATGAAATTCATGAGTGCCACTCGTCCCGCTTCTGCACCAAGCACACCCAAAAGGAAAACATGGATGACAATACTGATAAATAACAGGTTCCAGAGTCATGGAGGATATTCATGACCCTGCGTGGTGGAGAAGTGGCGTTAACTAGCCTTCAAGTAAAACGGGATATCCTAGTGCAGTGCAGTTGTCTGTTTGTGTGTGTGTGTGTGCGCGCGCATACTTGTGTTGGTTGTGGCCTCCGCGTGCATGACGCCGCAAGACGTCTTGCCGGGCTGCGCGCCGCCGTCCATCTTCTCCGCCTCCAGGATCATCCTGCGGAAAACCTTCACGGCGGTCTGCACAATCAAGTGGCACACAGCTGCTGTTCATGATGTGGTTTTGAAGCCCTCTCGAGGCCTGATTCACAACGATCCCAAATGGTGGGCACTGAAATTGAATTAATAGAATTTTCTCTGTACGTGGGGTGTTATACGGTCACACGATTCGCTTGTACCTTTGATTATCAGAGTGAATGACTCGAATGAATCAAGATTCAAAACCTACCAATTAAGTGTAAATGCTTTTAAAACCAGATTAAAAACTACCAGGATGCTTTTTCCCTACTTTTCCCATGTCAATGATGATATAAGGCAACTCGGCTCTTATTTAACATGGGCTGCTGCGACCGCACCAGAGACATTAAATAGGAAATGTAACAATGCAAAACTACCGTATTTTCCACACTAAAAGGCACACTGGATTATAAAGCGCACCTTCAATGAATGGCCTATTTTGTAATTTTTTTCATATATTGGACGCACTGGATTATAAGGCGCAATCTACAATGCATCCACTAGATGGAGCTGTGCTCCATCCGTTTGACTCGAGAGGCGCTCATGACCGCCTCCGAAAAAACGTAAATTAACCCATTTAATCCCAAATTTTTCCCAGACGTTTAAAAGTCAAAATCAGGTGTCATTGGTAACACGTTTAAGTAATCAGGAATAAAAAATTTTAGAGCCCTGTAAATTAAATCATTGTTGTCCTTCACAAATGTGACCGGTGGGATTAAATGGGTTAACTTGCTTCCAGTGCTATTTTTTTCCCCCTCAAATTTTGCTGGTACTGGTTTTGGTCCTCACCCATCCCTACAATTGTTGTTGCCCTTCAACGAAAAAGATTTGATTGATTGATCTTTGAATTGACAGGATTACGTGACATCATAGTCATGACCGGCTCCTTGAGAGCACCCGTAACTGGAATGTGAGCTGCGAAAAAAACAAGTTGGACTCTCCTGCATCCATTCATTCACAACACTTATAAAAAAAAAAAAAAAAGACTCCAAATATTCACGGAAACATTTTTTTATTGCTTTTTCTGATGCTTTGCAAAACAACTTTACTAAGGACGTCTAGGCCTGAGGATCCTTGGATGCACTCTGATTCGACCCCTGTCAAAGAAAGCAAAAGAATTTCAAACTTCCGATCACACTGTCAATATGTGGATCAAATATACACGTGAAAAGGAGAATACTGACTTGACTTGGAGTGCATCTGCCTAATGACCATGATGGAGATCATGGTGGTGGCCATGGTGGAGGTCGTGGTGGAGGTCATGGTGATGGCCATGGTGGAGGTCATGGTGGAGATCATGGTGATGGCCATGGTGAAGGTCGTGGTGGAGGTCATGGTGATGGCCATGGTGGAGGTCATGGTGGAGATCATGGTGATGGCCATGGTGGAGATCATGGTGATGGCCATGGTGAAGGTCGTGGTGGAGGTCATGGTGATGGCCATGGTGGAGGTCATGGCTATGGCCATCATGGAGATCGTGGTGATGGCCATGGTGTTCGGCACCTGCTCCTCAAAAAGAACCATCGAAAATCAAAATCAATCAGATGGACGGATGCTGTGCAAAGTCATTGGGATTCTCGCAAAGGATTGACACCTTTACCTGCGACAAGCAGCAGGGCGACGGCGAAAGCCAAGATCATCATCTTCATTGTGATGGTCAATGCAGCGGTCTGGGAGAGACAGAACACGAGATCGTGAAGAACGGGGGCGCACCAACGGGTCGTTGTATCCGTTTTTGCCAAATTCAAACAAATCCATTTTAACTTTAATTTGAATTTGAGAGAAACAGTTCTGGACAGGGGCCGCTACTTGTAATATTCACAAGGTTATACTTGTAAAGGAAGTCAGGGAGGTTGGGTCTAAAAATGGATCCTTGAAAACTTGGGAAAAAAATATGGTTAGAGTGCAAAAATAAAGCAAAATGGGCAATTTTTTAGGTTGTACGAGCACCAACTATCTGGAGTTTGAAAGGGGTGCACAGCTCGACAAGTGTCCAAAATGAAATTAAAGCCGTCGTATCTTCCACATAGTATTGGATCATGTCGACTTACCTTGACGATTTGTCTTGATGGATTTCTGCAAGTCGGTTGATGAAGCGGTCGTGGCTGTTCGCTCTTATATAGTGAGCTCATGTTGTTTCTCCTGGCCCCCTTGTATTCATTGCTACCTTGTACAAATATGTTACATACATCAATTTGTAATCATTACCCCGTTTTTAACGATATGAGCAGTTTGTTCTGGGTGGAGGAGGCTTAAATTTGCCTCTTGGGGTATGGTTTTATGATCAAAAATTATTATAGCATTCATTTTTGCACACACAAGACATGCGTATTGCTTATAACGTTAACCTTTTTCCTTGATAAAATATGATGTTATTCCCCGAATAATACGATGCTTTTTTTAATAGTAACTATTTTTTGTGCAGAATATATGACTATCTTGGAAGATTTTTGGCATTTTTCTCATTCTTGAATATTTCAGAACATCGGGACATTTTTTTTTTTAATCTGAAGTTTTTATTTTATTTTATGAAAACGAATATGAATTTTCCCTTAGAGCCATCATGGAGATCGTGGTGATGGCCATGGTGTTCGGCACCTGCTCCTCAAAAAGAACCATCGAAAATCAAAATCAATCAGATGGACGGATGCTGTGCAAAGTCATTGGGATTCTCGCAAAGGATTGACACCTTTACCTGCGACAAGCAGCAGGGCGACGGCGAAAGCCAAGATCATCATCTTCATTGTGATGGTCAATGCAGCGGTCTGGGAGAGACAGAACACGAGATCGTGAAGAACGGGGGCGCACCAACGGGTCGTTGTATCCGTTTTTGCCAAATTCAAACAAATCCATTTTAACTTTAATTTGAATTTGAGAGAAACAGTTCTGGACAGGGGCCGCTACTTGTAATATTCACAAGGTTATACTTGTAAAGGAAGTCAGGGAGGTTGGGTCTAAAAATGGATCCTTGAAAACTTGGGAAAAAAATATGGTTAGAGTGCAAAAATAAAGCAAAATGGGCAATTTTTTAGGTTGTACGAGCACCAACTATCTGGAGTTTGAAAGGGGTGCACAGCTCGACAAGTGTCCAAAATGAAATTAAAGCCGTCGTATCTTCCACATAGTATCGGATCATGTCGACTTACCTTGACGATTTGTCTTGATGGATTTCTGCAAGTCGGTTGATGAAGCGGTCGTGGCTGTTCGCTCTTATATAGTGAGCTCATGTTGTTTCTCCTGGCCCCCTTGTATTCATTGCTACCTTGTACAAATATGTTACATACATCAATTTGTAATCATTACCCCGTTTTTAACGATATGAGCAGTTTGTTCTGGGTGGAGGAGGCTTAAATTTGCCTCTTGGGGTATGGTTTTATGATCAAAAATTATTATAGCATTCATTTTTGCACACACAAGACATGCGTATTGCTTATAACGTTAACCTTTTTCCTTGATAAAATATGATGTTATTCCCCGAATAATACGATGCTTTTTTTAATAGTAACTATTTTTTGTGCAGAATATATGACTATCTTGGAAGATTTTTGGCATTTTTCTCATTCTTGAATATTTCAGAACATCGGGACATTTTTTTTTTTAATCTGAAGTTTTTATTTTATTTTATGAAAACGAATATGAATTTTCCCTTAGAATGTTATAACCTCTTCTTGTTATATTCTTCCTCCCCCAAAATATTTTCTGAATTGGATGCGATTCTTCCAACATCATGATTTTTGTTCTTTTAGCACAGGGGTGCCCAATACGATAGATCGCGGACTGGTCCCAAGTCGATCGCGAGGGGTGTCAAAGGGGGGAAAAAAAACCCACAAACCATTTTGTGTATCTGACTGCGTGTTATTTACATGATAGATTTTTATATTACGCCACAATGCGCCATTAGCATCCTATCAGTCTCACTTTCACTAAAAGTATTTAAAAAATAAATTTAAAAAGCAGGTCACCTTAACATACGGTGGCCCGTGCAGCGAATCACCGGAAGTTGTTAGCGGCTAGCAGTTTGCGATCAGAGCTGTTGCGGTATATCTATTTATTTATTTATTTTTTTGATTATTCTCATTCAGAGTTTGTTTCATGTAAAATTCACCGAGGGTAGTGGCAAAGAATGCGAATCTGGTGTGCCGGGAGAAGCATTTTAAAACGGTACGCGTGAGCTACGATAGTTAACACGCTACAAAAGTGCGTGCCGTGCCTCCGCGACAGGTCTCGACAAAGGTAAGCATTGTCTTTGTGATTTCCATTTCTTTATCTGAGAAAAAAAAAAGACATTTCACATGTACCTTTTCATTCATTACCTTTTTTTCCCCCCATAACACTTTTGGCCTCTGCAAATGTTACATATACATCCAAATAAGGTAATTAGCTCATAAAGATATGAACAGTTTGTCCTTGGTGGAGTCAGTGTTCATTTGACGATTGATGGATGGCTTTTAAAGCCTCGACGAAGTAAAATTTGCAAGACACTTTTTATTTCTTTTTGACGACATGGCAGACTAATATTAAATTGTCAAATGTATAATATTGCTCTCTGAATGAGGTATTTTGGTTGAAATAAAGCAACGTTTAACTTTTTTCATTCTTTTCTTTCGATATGCGGTTTCAATTTTTGTCAGAATATTGCTGTATTTTTGAATATTTGGGACTATTTCAGGAAATGGCCAAAGCAAATTACTTCTATTAGACCTTTGACTGCACCTTTGGAAATCACAACAAAGTTTGGAATGATCTATGAAGAATACAAAAAGGAGAAGAAAGAGCAGACAAATGTTTTTTTACATAACCACATTTGGTTTTAATGATTACAATCCAAAACATTTGTACAACATTTTCAATTTTAAAAAATGGATGACATTTTTATTTTGTTTGTTTTGTTTCCGACTATTTGGCTGACACTTACTGCTATGTGGAAAGTAAAATGAACCCGAAGAAACATCAGCTCTCTCGAGTTATTATTGTCAAGATCATATGATTGGGGCGGGGGCTTGTTTGGGTACACGGTTTATGATGAAATTCATGAGCGCCACTCGTCCCGCTTCTGCACCAAGCACACCCAAAAGGAAAACATGGATGACAATACTGATAAATAACAGGTTCCAGAGTCATGGAGGATATTCAGGACCCGGCGTGGTGGAGGAGAAGTGGCGTTAACTAGCCTTCAAGTAAAACGGGATATCCTAGTGCAGTGCAGTTGTCGTGTCTGTTTGTGTGTGTGTTTGTGTGTGTATGTGTGTGTGTGTGTGCATGTGCGCGCGCTTAGTTGCGTTGGTTGTGTCCTCCCCCTACATGACGGCGCAAGACGTCTTGCCAGGCTGAGCGCCACCGTCCATCTTCTCCGCCTCCAGGATCATCCTGCGGAAAACCTTCACGGCGGTCTGCACAATCAAGTGGCACACAGCTGCTGTTCATGATGTGGTTTTGGAGCCCTCTCTGTGCCTGATTCACAACGATCCCAAATAGTGGGCACTGAAATTGAATTAATCGAATTTTCTCTGTCCGTGGGGTGTTATACGGTCACACGATTCGCTTGTATCTTTGATTGTCAAAACTACCGGGATGCTTTTCCCATATCTATGATGATATAAGGCAACTCGGCTCTTATTTAACATAGCCTGTTGCGACCGCACCAGAGGCAGGAAATAGGAAATGTAACAATGCAAAACAACAACTTATTATTTTCTGACATAAATTTGATATATCAATTTGTAACATTAGACACGAAATATCATATTTAATGTGCATGAATATGTTTTGATAGCTGCAATCTTATATATATCCCCATATTTGGGAGTATTTATGTTTATTGTCCTCAAGCTTCGAAAACAACTGACACATTCTCCTGATATGTGCGAAATATTTTCACCCGGTACCTGGTTTTCTTTGGCCGAGGATTCCATGAAGGCAGCGTTCCAGGAGTCGGCTAATGCTTTCCCTTCTTCGCAGCTGATTACTCTGGAACAAAAAGATCAGGGCCACGACATTAGGTACACCTGCCTCCGTCAACCGCGCTGATAGCTTGACCACATACCGCTCCATGTGCAGGTCATTCTTGTTTCCAACAAGCATGATGGGAACTCTGTCAGCGCGGGAGAAGAAAAGTGGCCCGTTTTCATACCATTGTGGAATACGCTCGCTATCAAAACAAGTCGATGCCGCGGTGGTACTCACTGAACTTTCCCCACCATGTCCAGCAGTTTTTCGTGAATCACTTGGACCACTTCAAAGCTGCAAGAAACGTCTGTTTAATCAGTTATGTTGCCGCGTATGTTTTCCACGGCTTGCGGAAGTGAAGCACACCTTTTATTGGACGTGACGGAATAGACCAGGATATAGCCATTTATGTCTATGGAGTACGTCTGAGGGAAGATGGAGTACTCATCCTGTGGAGACAGAAATGGTACGATAAAAATTTACACTTTTCGTCCAACCCCCAATTTTTTATTATTTTGTCCAAATATTAGCATCATGCTAAACTCGTATCTTGATGACTGTGCGATATCGTACCACAAAGGAAAGCGGTACGGGTATCGATTAGCATATGCACGCAAGGAGTAACACAATCTACATGCAGCAAAAGTCTCGTATTTTCCACGCTGTAAGGCGCACCGAAATAGCATGAAATTTTCTCGAAAGCCGACAACGCGCCTTATAATCCGATACGCCTTATATATGGATCAATATTCTGATTTCTTGGCCGTAGTATTTTAAATGTTCTGTAAAGCACTTTGTTACAACTGCAATGGTTGCGAAAGCTCGATATAAATAAAGCTATAATTATATTGTATTCACTTTAGCGTAGCTCCATCTAGTGGATGCATAACATAACTGCAGCCACTATTGTGGTTTATATTCTATACGCCTTATAATGTATATAATAATCAGCACTTTGTGTGCAGCGATGGCTGTTTGAAAGTGCTCTATCAATACACTCTGACGTATCCAAGAAGTGAGGAGTACCTGTCCTGCTGTGTCCACCAGCTGAAGATGATACTCTTGGCCGTTTATCGTGATCAATTTAGTAAACGCTGCAGCGGGACCAAGAAGGAGAAAAGGCATCAGACAGTGACACATCTCCACATGCTCTTCGGAGTGGATCCATCCCGCCCGCGAAGCCCCCTCGCAGAGACACTTTGCTTTTACGCTAACTGCTGACAAGTTATCTGTGACCGGACACATCCCCCCTCGAGTTTCTCGATCCATGAAATGGTGGCAGCTCCGCTGGGTTAAGATCCATCATTTTCACGCAATGGCTAAACGACGCTAACGCGCTATCATGTCCGAAGCATGAAGCTAAACAGGGCTGTCGTGTTAGCGCAGATTCACCGTCTTGGTTATTTGGGGAACTTGTCGAAGTCTGGGGGAATTTGTGTTTAGCGAAGTGTCTGCTGCTTGCGCCACATCCACAGATCCAGTACAGCAGGGGTGGGGAACCGTTTTGACTAAGAGAGTCATGAAAGCAAAATATTTGGAAATAGTCATCTTGCCGGATCCATACGCGGAGTAGCCGCAGGCTAGCTTGCGCCCTGCTCAGTAGCTTGCACACTTCCTTTCTGTTGTCTCCCGCAAGGTATTTTCATGCGAATGTAGCATAGCGCGTGTCAAAGTGCCGCTTTACATTCGACCGATTCATCGATGGTATTTTGTCATTGCAAATTGGACACACCGCAGAACCTGTTCTCTCCACAAAGGCGATTCCTTTGATCCATTCGTCCTGAAGTGAACTCGTCATCTTTTTTTCTTTTTGCCATTTTATTCGGCGAAGAATTAGCTTTGAGCTAATGACCGACCGGGCTGATTCAAAAGGGAGCGTTTATCTGTTACACAGCAACGGCCAACGTAGGCCAGTATCATCCGATTAAAATTGCTCCTGCCGTCAACTGCAACCCTGAACAGGACATGAGCAGTGAAAAATCGATGGATGGAGCGAGAATATTTTGTTTTATCTGCGAGTCAGATGCAGTCATCAAAAGAGCCACACCTGGCTCGTGAGCCATAGGTCCCCGACCCCTGCACTACAGTAATTCAATCCATTCATGTATCTCACCATTATCCTCACATTTAAGTGACGGGCGAGCTGGAGCCTATCCCAGCTGTCTGTGGGCAGTAGGCGGGCGTACACGTATGGACTGGCTGCCAGTCAATCACAGGGCACATAAACACAAACAAGCATTCACACTCACAATCATTCATGTGGACAATACTGAGCAGTGAATTTTGTGTGTGTACACGAGTGGTCCGCACACTCCCTCAAGTGGTCGGTGAAAGTATGTGCATCTCAAATATATTCAAAATACTTTAACAATATGAAATATACTTTTTAGGGGGGAAAAACTGCTTTGTTTTGATGAACGCTTGCACTGTTGTGCCGCTTTATTTTGATGTTTGTTACGTTGATTGTTTTTTTTTTGTTTGAGGCCGATGCCGATTCTGATATTTGATAGCAGCACCTGATGGAACTGTTGCCTCCACAATGAAAACATCTGGATTTGCATGCACTTATTTTTTTGAAGACTCGGGCTTCAACGAGCAGCCACCAAGTCGACGTGGTTACCGAGAGCCAGACTTGGCTTAGCTGTAGAGGGCGGTCGTGGTGAGCAGCAGTTAATTGACACAAAACCGTTTAGCCAGAGTCAAATCCGTGTGTAAAATGTTCGGTAGTCCATGATCATTGGAGTATTTTGACAAAAACGTGTCACAGACATGGCACCAAGAGAGCGGTGTCCAAGTCCGGTCCTCGAGGGCCGCTATCGTGCATGTTTTAGATGGTTCCCTCCTCCAAAACACCTTGATTCAAATGATCAGTTCATCGGCAAGCTCTGCAGAAGTCCGATAATGATCCTGATCTTCCAGTACTAAGACATCTGGGAACTGCTTTAAATGGTGTAAAAGAATTGCACATGTACAAAAATGTGTTTTCATTTGCTAACCTCATGCAAATCCCGATGCAAATTCACAACAGATAAAATTTTGATGGCAAGTAGGACCAAGAAAAAAAAAAAAAGACACTGTCATCCTCCTTACCAAGTACTGTACTTACTGTTTTCTATTGTCGGATCATAGGAGTCGACAAACTGGCCCTCCACAAACTGAATGGTCAAAGAGGACTTCCCTGTAAAAGAAGAAAAGATGAAAAATCTGAGAAATCATCGGACGCGCGTGGTTGGAGGTGACCATGACTCAGCCATCACTTGACATTTTTGTTTCATGTTTTTTTTTTTTTGACTTCATATAATTAGTTCACACGACTACTCCGACTGAATTTCCTGAAATAGCCGCCACCTCTGTTCTAGTGGACACCATTCCCCAAATAGTATATTACAATGGATGTCAATTATAATAAACGTTAAATAGTGGCCTTTATTTAAAATGAATGCCCCTATGCCCCAATTACCATGTTTCCCAAAAGAGTGCATGCACTCTTCTTTAACAGAGGCTCCGACCCAAATTACTCTTTTGGCACAGCGGTTACTACAGTGAACAGCTTATCATGTTCTCAGGTTACAGGGTGCATGAAAGGGTTAATAGTGGCACACGCACTAATAGAGAGCCCGCCCAAATTACTGTACAGTATTTCATCAAATATTGGCCTCCGCTCTTACTTTGTAAACGCCCTGCTTAAATTACTGAAACCGTACTTTCCTCAACTGCTGTAATGGCTTTCGCGCCAATCGGTCCCTGCTCCAATTCCCTAATGATTTCCTCAGCTACTGCCTTTGCTAGTCTAGACACAAAACCCATACCCGGACTTGGAACCATAATTTGAAACCTTAAAGGGGAAGTGAAGTCAAAAATTGTATTTACAATAATATGCTCTATGAAGTCCCACAAGTCTTAAGTGTGATATTTTGATTAATTTTACGTTTGTGGGATGTGAATTCAGATGCAAAATCCACCCGTTTTCATCCATCTCGGGGGTGGCCATTTTGCCACTTGCTGTCAACTGAAAATGACATCACAGGTGCTCAGGGCTCAGCTTGTGAATGCCACATGACCAAACCCAGAAAACAGGTGAGCCGTGATTACACGTTTCATGTGGCCTTAATCATGTGGTGTCATTTTCACTCTACATGTGGAAAAATGTCCATCTCTTCCGATGGATAGAAATTGTTGGATTTTTCTGTTGAATTCAACGTAGTATTAATCAGAATGTCGGGTTTAGACTTGTGGGGGCTGCATAGAACATATTAATGCAAATAAAACTTTCGACTTGACTTCCCCTTTAACCATGGCTTGAAACCCTACTTTGTAACCCAAAACGTCACAAGAAACCTAAATGCAAATTCTAACCCTGGCTTGAAACCCTAGCACTTGCCTAGCAAGTCGACACCCAGTTTTTAAACCGTAACTTTGTCTTGATACAACTGTAACTTGAAGGTTTATCTTTTTTATTGAAAAAAAAAGATATATTTCAAAGCATGTATCTATTTTTTCCCCCACCCATTGTATTGGGCACCACTATTAATAGTTATATAAACGCCAAACCCTGATAATAAATGCATGGCACTCTGCTTAAGTGTAATTCTAGCATTTCCTACTGTTGGAGGAATATTGAGTAATTACCATTAGTATGGATAAAAAAGATACTAAGTGAATATTGAAGCATCCATCACGCTAGGACACCCTCCATCTTTTCCTTCCTTTTTTTATCCGCATCTAAACGGCGCTTGTTTGACGTGCTAGTGGTGACATAACCGGCTAGTCATGCGTCAAAGCCACCCGCTCGTCAAGCATTGTCCTCGGTGGTGTGGTTTTGTCCTCGCTTGACGGCGAACGTATGCCAAAAATGTGGGCCGTTTCGGTTTTAAGGCGGAGGCCTGCTGCCGGGGCCGCCTTCACCTGAGAGAGGGGAGGGATGCTGCGAGGACCCTATGTAGGGCCCGCTACAGCCAAGCCCCAGCCGAAGCAGGCACCCCTTCCCCGGGGGGAGGACCGGCCGTTCTCGTCGTGTGACCGGCTCTCACCTACGGATCGGTAGCCGAGGATGGCGAGCTTTCGTGACTTAGGCTGCGGCATGTCTCGCCCTGGTTATCGCATCGAGTCCTCGCGGTTCGACCGCAACCTCCAACCGGAATGGCACCCGAATCCCAAGGAACGCGACGGCTGGCACATACAGCCCCAAGTCCAAGCAACCGGCGGCGGTGTTTGCCTCCTGTCGCCCTCAACCCGGGTGGGGGAGATTCGCGGAATTGATTTCAGGTCTTACGCGGGAAAGCGTGGAAGAAGCTTTCGGTTTTCGAGAACTGCGTCACTCCCCTTCGCATTGTAATGAATTAGTAATTACGGCTCCTCTCCGATTGGCTCGACCCAGGAAAAAGGCGTGTTCGAAGTGCCGTTGAATGGCTACGATTGGACAACGCCGCCGTTCGTCATAAAACAAGGGGTTTGGGTAGAGGATGTGATTGGTCAACGCGAGCGTCGTGACGCGAACCCAATGTCGTTTCCATCTTTGAGGGGTCAGGAAACAGGGATGCTGCTGCGAGCACGACGTTATCATGCCATTTTAATCCCTTTTTCATTCAAGATTTCATTTACATATTGCAACACGCAGTGTGCATTGTGGTGAATATATGTTATTACGGTACTTTCTACTGTCATTAGTAGTAGGAACAGCAGCAGTATAAAACAGTGGGAATGATCATTTTGGCGATAAATTGCTGGATTGAATACAATTTGAATTAAATGATTAAACGTATTTTATTTATAAGAGTCAATCATGAAATTGATTTACTTCTTTTTAACAACTATTCTAATAACTAAGAAATCGAGAGATTATGTAATGAAATGAACATATTGTCAGTATCTGAGTGACAAACCAACATAAATCAAGGGTTGGCAACTAAAAATAGATATATTTGTCTATTGCTATTTCTAACTAATTTCTTTTATTCAATCAGGTTGGTCCCATTGAGAACCTCTTTTCCAAGCGAGACTTGGCCAGTGCCACTAAGACCACTCATGCCATTGTTTGAATTCAATTTCTTCACTCCGTAATATTGTGATTTTGCTCGTTATCCTTATCATTATAATTTGTCGTAGTCGTTAGCTGAGGAGTAGTACTTGTAGAAAAATAGATTTTTATTTTTTAAAACCAATTTACAAAGGAAAATAATTCCCCTCAAGAACACATACATTATGTTGTCATGACAGAAGTTAGCCACTAGAGGGACCCATTACATCACACATCTCAAATACATCCCACTCAGCGCCAGTCAATCTTGGACAAAATAAAACCCAAAACTAGAATATACTTGATATATGGTACATTTCCATGACAACCTCACGTCACATTCTAACTACTGTTTACTTCCATCCTTGGAACTATCTAATAAGAAGCTAGACTCAGCCAAAACCTCCGACCACAGGAACCTCAGGCACATCAATCCGGCGACCGTTAAAACACAAACACTGATCATTTCACTTGATAGCATGACGTCCGTTCCACTAAAACACCCGCTTCTTAATATAACCGTGGTTTGGAAAAGCGAGCCGCAGGCATGCGACAATGGCGTAGGAAGTGAGGCCACAATTAGTGGGTTAAGCCCGCGGGCAGATGGTGGAATTCCAGGCAAAGGTGGTGAGAGGATGGCATTCTTCTTTTGACGTTTACAAGAGGGCCCCCATGTTTCTAATGCCCCCCCCCCCAAACACTACATGCGAGACATACCACCCTATACCACTTCATCACTAAAACGTACAAGGCCATCGTCAATAAGATCTAAGTTACTTGCACACACATTTTTCAACACACGGGGAGGAAACCAGCATGTCATCAGTTGAAGCATTTGTTTTCTGTGACGTTGGGTATCACAAAAGTGGATAGTGGACGGAGAAAGCTCTGTGGTACCTACGGCACAATCACCACACATCCACAAAATGAAGAGCAGGAATAGGTCACGCCGGTAATAATGGCCATGGATTAGCGTGTGCTGACACAGCCTGACAATAAATACCCCTCCGCAGAACTGGCAACAGGTGCATGACAAGATTGTTTCACTTTAATAAAAAGGCTTAAAACAACCCTCGGTGAAATAATACATTAAGCTCTTTGCGACGCGGAGGCCTTCCATGATGCCCCAGACAATGAGGGTGATTTCACACTGGAAACCTTTAACAAGTTTTAATCAGAATAGCGTTTTGCTAAGTTAAGTAAAGCAAATAAACCCGAACACGGATTGACCAAGCTGGTGGAAGAGCACCAAACTGACTATGGAGAGGTTCGGTTGTGGTGAGAACGCCATTTAATCTCAATTCCCTCGATTCTGTTTGGTCAGGTAACAAGGGTGCGGAACAAGCAGAAACCAACGTAGAGTACCTTACTCTATACGCTATACGAACCTGACAGGCGAGCTTTGAGCATTTTTCAAGCCTTTTCAAGTGGCACAAAATGACCACCAGTATATCTATCTATCTATCTATCTATCTATCTATCTATCTATCTATCTATCTATCTATCTATCTATCTATACCCAAAAAAGATTTAATTTCTCAATTTTGGGAAAACTGCAGACACCCACAAAAAAGTGGCAGGTAGTTGTGTGCGACTTTCAACGTTACCTCGGGTAATCCTGCAGCCCCTCATGCTCATGGACACCAGGCAGGAGCTCAAGCCTTGTCACAGTCTGTTAGTATGCCAGCCAGCATGCCAGCCGAAGCGAATCGACCACATCCTCCAGCTGGACCGGGGCCACCGATGGGCACCTGGACCCACGCTCGTAAAAACAGAATTGCATGTTTAACTCTGAAGAAGGCGCTCACGGCTCAGCGTGTGCACGGTGCTCTCCTGACAAGAGAATCTCCACAGCTCTTTTCCTTCTACGTGCACAATTACGAATTTAATAACTCCTTTTTTAAGCTGTTTGGACTTGATCGATTGGCTGTTGTCCAGAGTCACGCTTGGCCTGAAAAGACAGCCCTCACAAGGTGCCATTGTGGGGTCGCGGGGGATCCAGTGATTACCATATTAGTGTGGCGTGAAACATTTATGGCAGTGAAACGCTCTGGCAAGTGGCATTTTCTAGAAGGGAGCATTGTCACATCCCATTTTGTGAAGCGGCCGTGCCAGAACAATAATCCGCCGCGCAACCGGAACGGATGGAAATGAGAGCGTTGACATATAGCTCGGTCCATCACACCTGACGTACCTTGAAGGCCTCATTCCAACCACTGTCAACGCACAGCACATCTAACGCGGAGCCTCTGCTGCCGTTTTCAAAGCAAGAATTCTCCCAGTGCCATCCCGCTGCTCCAGAGCTCATTAGTAAAGCTCGCCAAGCTAACCCCCGCTGCCCTGCTATGTAGCAGAGTCACTAAATTTGTGATAATTTACTGGAACGTACTCAAAAGCCTCAAAACCAGGCAAAAAGAGAGGACGGCTTAGTTGGAAGACAAAGTTGTTCACAAAATCTGCAACTTAGGTTAACTTAGTGCTTCGAGCTAACATAAAACACTTGTTGCTGCATGATTTGCCAAAGCTTAAGTTGGTCAACTAAAATCAAACATGGGCGACTGGTTAGCATGTCCGCCTCATAGTGCAAAGGTGCAAGGTTCGATTGTGGCTTCCTGAGTGGAATTTTGCAGGTTCTCCCCTATGCCTGCGTGGGTTTTCTCCGGGTACTTCGGTTTCCTCCCACATTTCAAAAACATGCATGGCAGGTGAAAGGAACGCTCAAAATTCAGAAACCGAAGAAAGTTTAATCTTCGATGAACTGAATGCCAAATTTGACAACGTTGACGATGTAGCATCTCCTATCAACGTAACCCACGTTTTTTGTAACCAAAGACAATTTAGTCTTTGCATGTTTCCATCCATCCATCCAGTTTCCGATCCGCTTTATCCCCACAAAGGTCGCGGGGGGTGCCGGAGCCTATCCCAGCCGTCTTCGGGCAGTAGGCGGGGGACACCCTGAACCGGTTGCCAGCCAATCGCAGGGCACACACAGAGACGAACAACCATCCGCACTCACACTCACACCTAGGGACAATTTAGAGTGTTCAATCAGCCTGCCATGCATGTTATGGAAATGTTGGAGGAAACCGGAGTACCCGCAGAAAACCCACGCAGGCCCGGGGAGAACATGCACACTCCACACAGGAAGGCCGGAGCTAGAATTGAACCCGGTACCTCTGCACTGTGAGGTCGATGCGCTAACCACTGGATCACCGGGCCGACCCTTCGCATGTTTTTCATATGTCCAAATCAACTTAGCATGTTAACAAAACATCCATTTATTATTATTACACATATATTTTTTTGTAAACAAAGTGCATTTTGGACAGTTTTGACTCGAGTCTTCAATGAAGCCAACTGGCTCATTTTTGCAAACCAAAAGAAGAAGCTCCATTTGAGGAAGCTCCAAATGGTGTCAAGGAAGCAGTACAGGGTCAACCCTGTCAACTGACTCCGCTAACAGGACCTCTCAACAAGATGACTCAAACTGAGCGACCGCTATGCTCACGGCAGTGTTAACATCAGGGCTGTGGGGCTCATTTAGGCTCCTCAGCGGTGCTTCATCACTCGCCTATCGCCCGCACGGTCACGTTACCATCGTCCTCCCTTTCTGCCGCGTCAGCAGACACTGATTCGATCCACTACTGAGCCCGGTTAGCTTTCCTGCACATGTTACAGATGTTATCTCGATACACCGGAATTAACCTGGATGGCGCTCTCCCCCGGGTGTCGTTATCGTCCATTCATCACGTCGGCCCACTTTGTTAGACCGTTTGTATCTGGTCCCAGATCTCACGACAGATAACCAGCCAGCCTGGAGCGAGAATAGTGGATGACAAAATAGGCTGCAAGAGTTTCACTTATCTGATAAGGAAGGAGAACAATATTCCAAGAACATGGAGGATGCTTGTCTCATTTGTTTAGGCTCTCTTGTCGCCGACTGGCTTCAAAGGTCGCGAATGACAATGTAAAAATGACTCCATTATCTGCACCGCCAAATGCGGTTTTGTACCCATCGAAAACTGTTTTGAGCATACGTGTTTTGAATAAGCATTTACAATGGCAATTTTTCAAATAAAATTTAGACTTCGATAAACTGAACACTGTAAATGTAAAAAAAAAAATAGCAAAGGCAAATTAGTCTTTAGGTTTGGAATCTCACATATGTGGTCGACTGGTTAGCGCGTCGGGCTCACAGTGCAGAGGTGCAGGGTTCAATTCCAGCTCCGGCCTTCCTGTGTGGAGTTTGCATGTTCTCTCCGTGCCCGCGTTGGTTTTCTGCGGGTGCTCCGGTTTCCTCCCACATTCCAAAAACATGCTGATTGAACACTTTCAATTGTCCCTCGTTGTGAGTGTGAGCGCGTACGATTTTTCGTCTATGTGTGCCCTGCGATTGGCCGGCAACTAGTTCAGGTTTGAAACAACCATTTTGAAGAAGTCTTGGGCTTGTGACGGCCTTCCACTCGGAAATTCATGCAAATGTACCAGTTATTGTCGACACGTGGGCAACACTAAATTGTCATCAAAGTTTGACCATTTTTGAGGATTCACCATGAATAAAGGGGCATGCGACAATCTGTTCATAGCTTCTTGCTGGTCTAATTATATTTCTGATTAATGGATTGCTTTTTTCGGGGGCCTCGGCATACTCAAAAATGCATATGGTTTTTGCAAGAGCTTATATCGGAGTGAAAATAGATGCATTTTGAGGCTCGCTCTTTTTGCCTCTGCCAGAATGTATATTATTTGATCTCTTTTGTACTGGCTATTGTCTGGTGAGTCTGCAAAGGGAAAGACCATGCGAAGTCTTTGTGGTGCCACATAACCAGATAACCCTTCACACGAGATCATTTTTCTCACCCTTGAGGCTACGCAACTGTGCCGGTTCTCATTTAGGCACTAATGACCCGTCGTAATAAAAAAGGTGTCTCGCAAATCCGCGAGGGACGGTAGATCCCATTTCCCTGTCGTTTAAATGTCAAGCTGTTTCCGCACATCTGTTCCTCCGGGGTGTGAAGAAAAAAAAACATGCATGGAATAAAGGATGTGTTTGTAATGAAGAGTAATGAAGCCCAGGGTCGCTTTTCGGCAACCACTTGTGTCATCGTGACATCTTTTCCGGCGTCGATTGAGCGCGTTCGCTAGTCCGACTTCTCGCGCCACCCCACTTTGAGTAAGGAAAGCCTTTTCTGCATATTTGATTGCATGTGACGCGAGCCTCATGTTGCCACCGCGGGGGTCTGTCGGCACACAGCTGAGGTGTCATCTTTCTTATAAATAAATGAGCGCAGCCTGTCATCGTGATGCATGCGATGCTCAAGACAAAGTGGATTGGATCACAATGGCTTGGTGCCAGGAAGCTTTTTTTTTTTTTTTTTGTCATGCCAACACATAAAGATATTGTTGATATGAAATCAGAACAGTGCAATGATAATGATAGAGCAGGAAATGGAATTTATTTTGGGACACAGAGTTACTTCTAAGGTATTGATGCTCATCCAATACATTGGATCTCACATGCCCCCAAGTGCTCATTCATTACAGTCGAGGACCCGCGACCACAAAATCTACCTTGAGGCCTGTTGAAGTGTGAGAAGCGCCCGCCAACACTTGAGCTTTTAGTGTCTCTTCATGACTTCCCCCGAAGGACGCACGGCCAACCGCAGAAGCGCTTTAGGTTAGAACACCAGACAAGTTAGGGTCGGAGAGACGATAGGTTTGCATGCCGCAATCCCCTCAGAGTATCGGGGGCCATTAAACAAGGAGAGTGGGGAGAAGCGCTCGAGCTGATCATCATCAATTATTCAGCAGGCGCAAGTGTGAATATTGACACCGGTGGACACATCTCTCACCCTAATGGAGCATCGCGGAAGTTAAGAATCTCCATGTTGGCAAATTTGAGGACAAAACCTGCAGGCCACGCAAAGCCAAGCCATCATGCTAACTAACCAAGATTGATGGGAGGTCGAATGGTGTGTGTCAGCACCGTTGCAAGAAGTTTCCGGGTTCAACTTGTGTTGGTTCTCAAATGGAACACCATCTTCCAACCCTCCAAAACCATAAAGTCACAGCTTCTCCTTTGTCAAAATGCCATACAAAAAAAAAGATGGATCATTTATTTAAAAAAAAAAATGCTGTGACAAGCTGCAGGTCACGCCAACTGTCTCTCATGTCCAATTCCGCAAAGTCAATATTCCAGCTGTCACTCATAAGTGCTGATGTAGCTGCGAGTCGATATGGAAAGCACTCCGGTGTTGGAAACGGCTGCTCACTGTCAACCAAGTTCTTTTGATTACCGCACGCGAGCAGAAACGATGACTAAGGCCAACGTCAAGCGCGGCCCCCGTTTTGTCGCTTCGGGCCGGAAAATTCGATCAAGACGCGTCGGACAAACTTAAAAGTTCTATGACGTGATGGTTGATTTTTCCTGATGCAAGGATCATTTTGGTCAGCTCTCGCCGCAGAAAATAATTCCAGAGACGGTTGGATACTTTTCAGGGAAAACATATTTTATCACCTATTCACGTAAAAACTGATGAATGGAAGAGAATTTAGGGAGTGCGTGAGACAGAGGAATCATGCTTGAAAGAAATCATCAGGTCAGAAGTGGCATTACTGCATCTTGTCAGTAGGGAGCGCTAGTAAAATCTCAAACAAAAAATTTAATAAATGCAATTTAATTTCTGTCCAGGGCTCATATTTCGCAGCAGTCTCTTGGCCCCTAAAGTGTCCGCTTTAAACAAAAATGCCAGACTTCCTTTGTTTCTTCAGGAATGGGTTCCTGAAACTTTTCTCTCATGAGCAACATGCCCGCCGAATTTCATGTTGCTGAGTTGAGATGGCTCTGTGGAGTCAATTTTCCCCAAAAGTGTGAAAGCTGTGACGATGACAGTTGCCCCTCAGGGACCAAATGGGGAAGACACAACGCCATGCGGTCAACCTTTCCGGGAAGCTTAGTGGGATGTTCCATGTCCTTTTGCACTTGAGGTTTTAAAAACGGCATGCGTGTCTGCACAGGAGGCTCCGTTAATGACTCTGAGAAGTTACTTTCACTGCTGCCTCCTCGGTGTCAGGTTTAAGTCGCGACAAGAAAACAATTGTCCCGGACAAAGGAGATTACGTCAGGTCATTGGTTGTGCCTTAATTTATTTGATTTTTTTTAAGGGACGGACGGGGTGGACAGTTCAACACAAGCATGTGAATTGAGATGTAGCCTATGTGCCCCCTACGTCTCAGTCTGAGGTCATGGCATTGACACGGAACCCCCTCCTTGTGGAGTGGGAGGGGGCCACGGTTCTATCTGTGGACCTGACAAATGACAGGACCAGCTGGGAAATGAAACCCTGTAAGACAGGCACTTTGTCTGTAACGAGCAGACCACGCGCAAGGGTCCCCACAGTGCCGTATTAGCTCAGGGAGGATTCAGTGATACGAACCGCTGATGAGGACCGGAGAGCGACAACTCGGCGTTAGGGAATCAAATGCGGACGTTTTTTGACGATGGGCGGGAAACAATCTCATGGCTTCTCCAACAAGGAGCTAAGCGAGGTGAGCGTGAGCCAAGGAGGTCGGAGGAGCACCGCTAGCGACCAGACGAGTCTTTCATCCGCCGCCGAGAGAATCCGCAGGCACGCCACGGTGCACTTTGGCTACAGCACCCTGAGCCTGGCCATGCGTGGGCTGGATGACGCCCCGGCCGAGTTGTGGGAGCTGCGCGAGCTACAGAAGCTCAACCTATCGATGAACTGTCTCTGCTCGCTGCCGCCGGCCCTCGGCGCGCTGGACAACCTGGTGGTGCTCAACCTGTGGGGCAACAACCTGACCAGCCTGCCGCCCGAAATCGGCTTACTGAAGAAGCTGCGCGTGCTCTTTGCCTGTCGCAACCGCCTGAGCGAGGTGCCCGAGGAGCTGGGATCCTGCACCTGCCTGGAAGTGCTCAGCCTGGCCAACAACCAGATTAGCGGTCTGCCCGGCAGTTTGGCAGCCATGTGCAGCCTGACCAAGCTTAACCTGAGCCACAACCGCATTGCCCACATCCCTACTTGCGTCTACAGCATGAAGGGCCTGGTCTTCCTCCACCTGGCCTGCAACCGACTGGAGACTATCGCCGACCAGATCCAGGACCTGGTCAACCTCAAGATCCTCATCGTGGAGGGGAACAGCATCCACACCCTGCCCAAGACCCTGTGCTTCCTGGAGTCCTTAGAGCTCCTCAATGTGGACTTTAACGAACTGCAGAACGTACCAATGGAGATGTACCTGCTGATCGGGCTCAGGAGGCTCGCCTGCCATCCTCTGGACAAGGGACTCCATATTATCCATAACCCCCTGCTCAAGCCCATTCAGGAGGTACTGCAAGGAGGACTGAGCTCCCTGTATAACTACCTCAAGCCTACGTGAGGCACCATCAACGGGTGCGACACCGGCACCCGGATAACGCCGCACACATGGACGCCCGCTCCTCAAAACACATACCCGCCCCAATGCAGATTCCACTATCAGTATTACATCACAAGGCATCTTGAGGCACACAAATAGATTCGAAGAGCCGTCGGCGGTTTGTAGCCGTTTATTTACAACCGCCTCGCGCGCTATGCGGAGCGCGCGTGTGAGCGTAATCCGCAGTTAAGGGTTAAAAGGAGGCGGCAGAAATTCACAGGTCCACATTTGGAGGCTGATCAGTGGCGAGCGGATGGCGGCGAGGCGGGTAACGCGCACATGGTTTGTTGCATGCAGGTCAGCGAGATCAGTCAGTGGAAAGAACAGTAAAGGAGAAGGGGCCGG